TACCCAGGGTGACTCTTACGCGGAGCCGAGAGAAAGCCCGCCTCCTCTCACCTCCCCCCGGGGGCCCGCCGCTGGTCTCTAGCCTGCGTCCAGGGGGTGCGCGGCAGGTTCCTGCCGTGTCGGCGCGGCAACGACCCCAGCGCGGGCGTCCCAGGCCGAGCGCCGCCAGGGGCCCAGAGTCGGCCGATGTTCAGAGCGTGAATTGCCTACCCCGCTTTTTCGCTTCCAGGCAGAACCACGTCATGCCACGCGCCTCCTCGTCAAGCGGCCTGACCAGTACAGGCCGTAGTTTGGCATCGCTTGGTATCTCTTGGAAGCGAGGGCGGTCAAAAGCGAGGTAGGTCTGTTTGCCCCCTAGATGTCGAACGGTCTGCGCCCATCGTGGATGCGCGGCCTGCAGGGTTGGACAAGACCCGCGAAGGCCCGCGAGCTGTCTGGAGCTCGAGCCCGCGTTCGTCGTGACGCGGACTTGCCGTGCGAAGGGGCAGGGAGGAGGAACGGTGGGTCGCAGCTCCTGGGAGATGTGATACGGCCTCGACGATGGCAAATCCGTGGCCGAAATCCAGCCTAATCCAGTTTACTCCCGCGTAGTACCATGCTTGTGATGTTGGGCTTCATCCGGGCTGATCCGGCTCAGTGGCCCTTCCTCTTTGGCTTTCTCTGGGCTAATTCGGGCTTAACCGCCCTTACGGTAGGTTCGCGTTGTGTCGACCAACGGCGACCCCGCCGCCGGCGTTCAACGTTGAACATTGTTCGCGACCCAGCATCGGTCGATGCTGAACGATCTGACATTCTGGAAGCGGCCGATCGTTCAAGATTGAACGATCCCCGCGATGTCAGAAACCAACGCCAGGGTCGACACGACACGAACCTGCCCTGCCGTACGAGGGAGCAGTGATGAGGACTGCTCGGCGGCAACTCCTGGGAGATTCACTCCAGCATCGGCGACGGCACATCCGTTGCCCCAGAGCAGCCTTTTTCGGCCTCATCCGGTGCTTTCCATGCATACTTGTGCCTTTTTGCATACTGGGCTGATCCTTCGGCTTCATCCGGGCTGATCCAGCTCAGTGGCCCTTCCTCTTGGGCTTGCTCCTGGGCTTCGTCGGGCTCGACGGCCCCTGCCCGCTCCCGCGGGGGCCTCCCTGGAGTTGCCTCCCGAGGTTTAAGTCGGGCCTGTCCCTCTACAGGGGGAATGTTCAAAAATAGTAAAAATTGTCTGGGTACTATGTTTTGACTGTATTAAAGCATTTGGGGAGTATTGTTGGTGTATTCTTAATTTTTCGTCCAAAATCTAGCTGTAGGAGGACAGGCCCGACTTAACCCGAGGTGTGCCTGGGCGGGGCGGCCGAAGGAGCGCTGCACGGAGCAGGCCCTGCTGGCGGTGTTCGCCGCGATCCTGGGCCTCCTGGGGCTGTCCTTCCTGGTCCTCGCGGCTCCGCTCGCCTCGCAGGCCACTCCTCCTCGTCCTCCTCCTCCTCTTCCTCCTCCTCCTCCTCCTCCTCGTCCATTAACGGACTACGTCCGATTGCTCCACTCCTCCTCCTCGTCCTCCTCCTCCTCCTCCTCCTCCTCCTCCTCCTCCTCCTCCTCCTCCCCCTGGCCTCCTCCTCCTCCCCCCTCCTCCTCCTCCTCCTTCCTCCTCCTCCCAATCCTCGCCCCTCCTCCTCCATCCTCCTCCTCCTCCTCCTCCTCCTCCTCCTCCCCCTCATCCTCCCCCTGCCCCTCCTCCTCCTCTTCTTCTTCTTCTTCTTCCTTTCTCCTCCTCCTCCTCCTCCTCCTCCTCCCTCCCCTCCTCCTCCCCCTGCCCCTCCTCCTCCTCCTCCTCCTCCTCCTCCTCCTCCTCCTCCCCTCCTCCTCCTCCTCCTCCTCCTCCTCCTCCTCCTCCTCCTCCTCCTCCTCCTCCTCCTCCTCCTCCCCCCCTCTTTTGGGGGGGGAGGGGCGCGACGAGATCGCTCTCTTCTTCAGTGCTTTGCCGATCGGCGCAGGCCCTCGCCCCCCCTCCACTTGGCGTCGCTCGGACGTGTGCCTTTTTTCTTGGCGAGGACCATCGAGGAACATCTTTGATCAGTTAGCGGAAAATACACGCACGAAATCGGCACGGGGAATGGACGTCCGAGCGATGGCGAGTCCCCCCCCTGGAGTAGATCTTGGCTGGTTTGGGCGCTTCTTTCAAGCAGGTGGAGTCTCCCCCATGGGACGCAATGTTGCAGACACTTGCGTTCAGCGGAGGTCTGGAGCCAGACCCCCCTTCCCCCCCTCCCCCCCTCCTTTCCGCCCAATGTCGAAACGCCGAATCAGAACACGGTCACGAAGAGAACCTCGGCATCTGTCCGAAAGTGTGCATGTGTTCTTCGGCGAGGCCTGCGCCAGAAACCCTTGACCACCTAGGAGCGGCACACCACACACACACACACACCCGCACGCACGCACACGCACACGCACACGCACACGCACACACGCGCACACGCACACGCACACGCACGCGCACACGCACACACGCACACGCACACGCACACGCACGCACACACACACGCACACACACACACACACACACGCACACGCACACGCACACGCACACACACAACTCGCACACCCACACTCTCTCTCACACACATCGCACACGCACACGCACACGCACGCACACGCACACGCACGCACACGCACACGCACACGCACGCACACGCACACGCACACGCACACGCACACGCACACGCACACGCACATGCACACGCACACGCACACGCACACGCACACGCACACCCCCCCCCACACACACACACCACACAAACACACACACAGACACAGACACTGACACAACCACAACCACAACCACACACAAACACACACACACAAACACACACACAAACACACAAACACACACAAACACACACACACACACACACAAACACCAACACACTCACACTCACAAACACAGACACAACCACAACCACACAAACACAGACACACACACACACACACGCACGAAATTGAACGCACGAGGAATGGACCTCCCAACGATGGCACGTAACCGCGCTTCGCGCACCGCGGCTCGTGTCGGAGACTGCTGGGGAGGCACCGCTCTTCGGGTCGGCGGCGCGACTGCGCGAAGCGGGCCGCGCATCTCGCATCGTGGGGCACGAGGCGCGACGTTGCGTGGCCTGAAGCCCCTGTTGTTCCAGGCCTCCTCCTCCTCCTCCTCCTCTTCCTCCGCCTCCTCCTATTCCTCGCAGGCTCCGCTCGCCTCGCAGGCCACTCCTCCTCCTCCTCCTCCTCGTCCTCCTCCTCTCCTCCTCCTCCTCCTCCTCTATTCCTCCTCCTCCTTCTCCTTCTCCTCCTCCTCCCCCTCCTCCTAGTCCTCCTCCTCCTCCTCCTCCTCCTCCTCCTCCTCCTCCTCCTCCCCCTTCTCCTCCTCCTCCTCCTCTTCCTCCTATTCCTCCTCCTCTTCCTCCTCCTCCTCCTATTCCTCCTCCTCCGGCTGCTCTGTGCCCTCTTTTGCCGCTGGGCTTCGCCGGATGGTGAACAGATCTATCCTGGCGACGGACCCAACCATGTGCAGTTGTGAGTGCCGTGTTGTGGCGCCGCTTTCGGTGGAGCTCCCTTTGGGGCCACGACTCGTGTGAGGGGTGCGCCAATCTGGGCGGCACCGCCGTGCGAATCCCGCCACTGGTGCCTTCGGTGGAGCTCCCCATGGGGCCACGAACCGTGTGAGGCGTACGCCAAATTTGGGCGGCGCCGCCATGTAGACCCTGCCACTGGTCCCTTCGGTCGAGCCCCCTGTGCGGCCACGACCCGTGTGAGGGGTGCGCCAAAATGGGGCGTCGCCGCCATGTGGACTCTGCCACTGGTGCCTTCGGTGGAGCTCCCTATGGGTCCACGGCCCGTACGCCAAATTTGGGCGGCGCCGCCATGTGGACCCTGCCACTGGGACCTCCGACGGAGCTCCCTATGGGTCCACGACCCGTGTGAGGCGTACGCCAAATTTGGGCGGCGCCGCCATGTGGACCCTGCCACTGGGACCTCCGACGGAGCTCCCATGGGGCCACGACCCGTGTGAGGGGTGCGCCGAAATTGGGCGGCGGCGCCATGTGGACCCTGCCGCTGGTGCCTTCGGAGGAGCTCTCCCTATGGCGCCACGATCCGTGTGAGGGGTGCGCCAACATGTGGCGGCGCGGGCCTTCGGTGGAGCTCCCTATGGGGCCACGACCTTTGTGAGGGGTGCGCCAAAATGGGGCGGCGCCGCCATGTTGATCTTGCCACTTGTGCCTTAGGGGGAGCTCCCTATGGGGCCACGAACCTCGTGAGGGGTGCGCCGAAACACAGACATGCGGAGGGCATATGCAGGGATGGGAGGAGGGAGGATGCGGAAGGAAGGCGGCGGGAGGAGAACGCGGGGCGCTGTCTTTTCAAAGCGAGGACCCAAAACCACAGGATGGTCGGGGAACGAAAAGTTTGGCCTGAAGCCCCTGCCCCAGAGGCTAACGTGACCCACTCGCAGATTTTCTTGGGCTGCCAGCACGGCGTCGACACGCAGGCCAAGGTGCTCTTTGAGTATGCCTCCTCGATGCAGGCGGGGCCCCTGCGCGTCTCTGCGTCCGGTTTCTCCTTGGCGTGTCTGACGGGCATCGTCGTGGAGTGACCGTGGAAGCTGGGGGGCAAGTCTACCTGCGTCTAGAAGACCAGTATCTGGGGCCTATGCCGATTACCGTTTTCACTTTCCAGCCACTGGCGTCTATGAGCATATGTTGGGTGTCGTTGCGTATGGATAGGCACGTTCGGGGTGGATGCAGTCAACCCGCATAGTGAGGATGACCGACTTTTTATGGCTACCCTAGCATCCTTGCCTTCTCGGCCCATCCTTGGCCGCCCGCTTTCGCTGGCCGCGCCCCGCCCGCAAGGTGTCAGTTTGGCGGCCTTCCAAGGCCCTTGCATTCTTCTCGTGCGTCCTTATTATACGGGTTGACTGCGCGTCTAAAGACAAAGCGTTCGTTGCGTGCGGCGCAGTGCAAGGTCGGAGAAAGGGTGGAATTGTCTACGGTACGCTCCTGTTCTAGAGCAGGTCCCACATGATATTCCAACGTGGAAGACGAGGCCATAGGCGGAGGGACTTCGATTGTCATCCTGCACTGGTGCTGGTCAGGCCACTGCTGGGTCCCATGCCAGGATTGCCTCTCCACTGATCCTCTGCATGGCAACTCCTGGGAAGCCGTTCTACTTCGGGCTTAGGTTGGCTTCATCCCGCTAAAGCAGGCTTAATCGTGGGTCGCATCTGATCATCCAGCTTATGGCCCTCCAATTGGGCTCAAGCTGCCTCTTGGGATCCTTGGGCGCAGGCTACGGCCTGGTCCAGGGTCGCCGCAGGTGGGCGCACAGTGCTGGCGTCTCCAACGCAGGGGGCAGCCCTCGCGCGGCCACTCCGTGTGCGTACTCAGGTTCTTTGGTACACGCTTGGCGTTCTTAGGTCATCAGCGGTTTTCTCGTTTCGGAGTGATTCTTTTGCGCTCAGCTACCCATCGGTCGTTGAAAGTAGGTATTTCTGGATTCCCAGATTCCAATCTACTTTCAGCGCCTTCCTACTTCAAGAGTCGAGTGGTTTTCCCTCTTCCTTCCTCTTCGGGAGGCGGGCGGAAACCCAATCTATTTCCAACGCCTTCCTACTTTATGTTTCTACCTACTTCTTCCGACCGATGGGTACGCCTCTCCGCGAGCGTTCGATTCTGAGGGGCCGGAACGCTTTCATCGGCAGGCGGATGCCCGAACTGAGGCTCAAGGGTAACCCAGAGCCCAGACATCCAACGTCTTGAACAATCAGGACGGGTTTTTGTTCGCTTCGTTCTCGGCCTTTGGGTGCCTTCGCCGGGCCCCGGGACCATCGACATAACGATTGGGGACGAGAAGCCAGCCCTGGGGAATGTGCCGGGGCTTACTTCTGCATTGAAGTCAGCATCAAGGCGTCGGGTGTCTGGGTACCAGGAGTGCAAAACAGGCACAAACACACTGAAACGCCGATTCCCGTGAAAATAGGGGAAGCGGATGCCTCTCGGCGTCGATTCGGATTTCTTTTGAGAGTTTCTTCGGGTCCTCTTTGGGCATCTTGGGGGTGTCTGGCAGTTCCAGGGGCCTCTTGAGGCGTCTTGTGTGCCTCTGGGGGGCCTCTTGGAGCTTCTTGGGGATCACTTAGGAGCCTCTTGGGGGCATCTTGGCGGCATCGTGGGGGCCTTGTGGGGCTTCCTGGGCAGCACTGGGGGCCGTCTTGGGGCACCCTCGGGAGCCTCGGGGGCCATCTTGTGGGGCATCTTGGAGGGGTACATTCGCCCCCTCCCCAGGAGCCAAACTGTGGCCCAAACCTCAGTAACATGAGTGATTTTGAAGGCTTCCTCTCCGAGGCCATCTTGGACGTTCCCACCCCTCAGGGAACGCCCATGGGGTAGGTGGTGGGGGATGCGCAAACTCGCTGGGGGAGGGAACTCGCTAAAGCCAGCCACGCCCTGAAGGGCCAGTGGGAGTTCTCACGCGGTTCTGCGGGCGTCGCGTGCTGTCTCGGGCACCTCGGCGGCCACGGATGGCACGCAGCAGGCACGGGCGCGCATGCACATTTTGCGCACGGCAAGCCGCACGACGATGCGTCCGCACTCTTGCGCTGCGTGGCGGCGAACGAGCGGCGACGCACGACGACGACGACGACGGACGATCGACGACGACGACGACGACGACGACGACGACGGACGATCGACGACGAACGACCGGACGGGGGGGGTGCATATGTCTGTCAGGGGCCTTCCGTGGACCATCTCGGGCCCCTCGCGGGCGCTGCTCGGAGGGAGACGGAATGGGGGGGAGAGACCGGCCCGGATCTCCGACGTCTTTTTTTCCGAGTGCGGGGCCCCGAAAGCCCCAGCCGTTCTTTGTTCCAGGGCGTGTTTTTGTTCAACCCGAGTCTTAAGTCGGGCGTGTCCCTCTACAGGAGGAATAGTCAAACATAGTAGAACATATTCTGGGGACCATGTTTTGAGTATGTTCGATTCTGTGGTAAGTATTTTTTAAACTATTTTTAATTATTCGTCCAAGATCCGCCTGTAGGGGGACACGCCCGACCTAACCCCAGCCCTTTTTCCCAGTGCTTTTTTTTGTTCAACCCGAGTCGTTCGTTATGTTTGACAGTCACAGGGCCCAGCGAGGGCCACCCGGGGGCCGAAACAGCTGCGAAAAGACGGCCGCCGTGCTTTCTGTCCAGGAGTTATGCCCGGGAGGGGGCGGGCCCCGCGAGTGGTCGACGACGGCGGGCGAGCGAAGAGCAGACGAGACGACGACGAGTGACGAGGGGGGGGTGCCTGCAGGAGGCACTCCAGTCGCTGTCGAGTCGGGCCTGTCTCTCTACAGGAGGAAGGTCAAACAGTTGTAAAATCCCATTATAGGGGACGATCTGTTGTGCCTATGTTTGGGCATTTGTTTAAATAGTGTTTGACTCATTTTAATTTTTCGCCGAAAATCCGCCTGTAGGAGGACATGCCCGACCTAATCGGCTAAATCATCGTCTCCTAGATCGCCGCGGAGCCACGCCCCCGCCCTGTACCAGCATAGCTCCGATCTGGGCGCCTGTTTCCATCAGGCACGCAGCGTCTACGCAGCTCTGCCATGACGAATGTGTATGTGTGTGCCTTGCATGAGAGGCATGTGCTCTTTCGTGGCGATGCGCCGTGAGGGTGCCACGCTCGATTGCTTGCTTGCTCAATCAGGCGGAGCAACATCCAGACCCCACCGCCCCCTCCTGCCCTACTGAACGTGCGAATCGTCTATGCGCACAGCCGTGCGTTGCTTTCTTGCGAGTAGGTTCGGAATCATAAGTGAGCGGCTCCAGGGTGCTAGGCCTATTTAAACAGTTCGCCTCCTTCACTGTCTCGTACACTCGCTTCTGCTGGGCCGTGCGCGGTCCTGCGGCTGATTCGCATCAGACCGATTAAGCGCCGGCCCAATGCTGAACCCTTTCTCCCCGGCTCTCGCCAACCGTCGAAAACCAGAAACGCCGAGATCGCCCCGCTGGCGACGGCGCTGGCGGTGCGGTTCCAGGGCGAGCGTCGAGGAGGGATGGGACCAGGGGTGGTGACAACGAACTGGGCGTGGAAAGAGAGGGGGGGCCAGCAGCAAAAAGAGGGAGGAGGATGGAGGAGGTGGAGGAGGAGGAGGAGGAGGAGGAGGAGGAGGAGGAGGAGGAGGAGGAGGGGGGCCAGCAGGAGAAAGAGGGAGGATGAGGGAGGAAGTGGAGGAGAAAGAGGAGGAGGAGTGGAGGAGGTGGAGGAGGAGGTGGAGGAGGAGGTCAGGAGGAGGAGGAGCAGGAGGAGGAGGAGCAAGAGGAGGAGGAGGAGGAGGAGCAGGAGGAGGGGGGCGGCGAGCGACGGCGAGGGGCGGACGTGGAGGGGGCTCTCGGAGGCGCTCCGGCGGCCGGGCGACGCCAGCATGCGGAGAGCAGAGGCTGGGCGGAGGGCTGGCGACTAGTTTGCAGCGGCGGCGAGCAGACGACGAGAGACATACAAAAACACACGTGGAGAACACACACACACACACACGCACGCAAATTGTGAAACAAAACCACACCTGTGGACAAACACATACACACGCACACACGCACACGCACACGCACACGCACACACGCACACGCACACGCACACGCACACACACGCACACTCACACACACGCACACGAACACGCACGCGCGCACGCGCACGCGCACGCGCACGCACACGGACACACAGACACACAGACACACAGACACACAGCCACACGTAAGCACGCTCACACGCACACACGCACACACGCACACACACACTCACACACACATACACACACACGCACACACACACACGCACACGCACACGCACACGCACACGCACGCACACGCACGCACACGCACGCGCACCCCCCCCCCACATACACGTACACACAGACATACACACGCGCACAAACGAACACACACACACACACACACACACACACGTGGAACAGAAAAACACAACAAACACACACGTGGACAACAAACACAGGCGTGTGTGTTTTTCACGGAGCCAAACATCCAGTACATCGTTTTTGTTAGTACGGAGTCCCAGGACGTCCCGATCCGTTCCCCATCCCGCGAGTCTCAAGGGATGAGGCACGATGGCCATGACCATGATGTCGCGGGATCGATTTGACGCCAGTGCTGGTCACAGCTCATGCTGGCCGCCGCCAGCTCGTGAGGATGTTGTACGACTTGACTATGATCAATATCGACGATGGCCCAGATCGACAGCGACATCTCCTCGCTCAGTCTTGGTCAGAGTCATCGGTCCCTTTCTCTTCAGAAAGGCCCTGCTGACGCTCCCAGGGGGCCCGGCGAGGGGCCCTGAAAGCCGGGCGCGGCCACAAGCAGTCGCCTCGACGTTCGCTCCAGACGCTGGATGTCTGACGTCTGGGTGGCGTCCGGTCGAAAATCTATCCGCCGGCGGCTGGTCGGGACGATTCGGGAACGCTTGGCGCGCTCGCGGCGAGGAGCAGTTGTGGGAGAGCCTCCGGGAGTGAGACCATTGCCGATAGCAGCCGAGAGCAGCCACAACGGCGCGAAACCTCTGTCTTCGCTCTTGCCGCGGCGCTGGCGGGTGGCCAAACACATCCGTCCGATAGCCGTCCTGTACAGTCGGCCTTAATTAGTAGGGCGACCCTGCCAAGTCCAGGGTACCCTCGTGTCCTGTCTTTCGGGACCTGGTCCCTTTGCGTTCCTGTGGCAACGTAGCCCTCGGAAGGCTCTTTGTGTCCCCTCTCGCGTGTCCTCGCCAGTGAAGCCCCACTGCATTTGTTCGAGACGCCACGTGTCCCAAGGGGGCGCTTTCTCTCTTCCTTTGTGGGCGGAAGGCATGCGCGCAGCCGCGGCCTCGCGGGCGCAGGGGCGCAAAGAGGATCGCGCGTCGGGCAGGGTGATGCGCGAGGTTGGGTGGCTTGGGAAGTCGTCCGAAAACGTGGGGAATCCCCCAGGGCCAGCGACAGGGGGGACAGGCTAAGGAGGGGATGCATCGACCCCCAATCGCCCACTGAGCGCTTATCGGGGGCCTGATAAGTCCACCCCGCCCAGGAAGGTGCGGATTTGCTATCGGCGGGCATATCGCCGATCTATCGGCGATGTATAACCGATTCCAGGTCGATGTCCCCCCCCCCCTTGAGTCAAGGGAGGAAACGCCACCCAGACCGGACAATCGGCGTTTACTAAGCGGCCCTGGGCGTTTACTGAACGGCCCTGCCCTGCTTGAGTCCTTCTCTGGGCGCGTTTGCTAGACGGCCTCGCGTGTCGGAGTGGTTCTTATGGGGGTGGATTTTTCGACCCCCCCGCCCAGGAACGTGCGGACTCGCCATCGGGGGCATATCGCCGATCTATCGGCGAGGTATCACCGATTCCAGGTCGATGTCCCCCCCCCCCCTGAGTCAAGGGAGGAAAAACCACCTGGACCAGACAATCGGCGTCTACTAGACGGCCCTGGGCGTTTACTCAACGGCCCTGCCTTGTTTGATCCCTTCTCTGGGCGCGCTTGCTAGACGGCCTCGCGTGTCGGGGTGGTTACGGTGGGGGTGGATTTTGTGACCTCTACCGAGCCAGTCTCCTCCTCCTCCTCCTCCTCCTCCTCCTCCTCCTCCCCCTCCTCCTCCTCCTCCTCCCCCTCCTCCCCCGCCTCGTCCTCGCCCTCGCCCCCATGACCTCCGGGGGCGGGGCCGCACCGCCGAGGCGCTGCGGGCAACGCCGGCGTGCAGCTCCCGTGCGAGCGTGGAGGACCCCCCGCGCCCCTGCGCGCTGGGCCCGCGCCGGGCCCGCCGCGGCGGCCGCTCTCGTCGACTGCGCGTGAGAGTGTCAAGCAGTGGCGAAGCGTCCTGGCTCGTCTATAGTCGTAAGTCGGGCCTGTCCCTCTACAGGAGGCATGTTCAGAAGTAGTCAGAAAATAGTAAGTTTTTTAACAACCATTTTGGAGCATTTCGTGAGTATGTTTTATTTTTCGTCGAAAATCCCCCTGTTGGGGGACACTCCCGACTTAACTATAGTCGGGTATAGCCAGGACCCAAGGTAAGGGGACATTGTTAGTAGTAGGGCCCCGGAGCCCCCAAATTGGCCAGAATCATCAAACCAGGTCTGCCGTAGCTGGTGTTTTTTCGGGTGACGGCAATTCTGAACCTTTTCTGTGGTTTCCACGAAGTGTTCTCAGAACATTTCTGGCCAGGACTGTCTTTTTTGCACATCGGGCTTATGTTCCAAGGACACTGCTTTTGTTATTGCGAAGGCCTTACGGCCGGTGCCGCCGACCCTGAATGGCGACGACGACGACGACGACGACGACGAGCGCTCTTGGGGGCCTCTTGGGTGTAGTTTGTGGCCCTCTTGGGAAGCTCTTAGCGGCCGCTTGGAAGCCTCGTGGGGGCCTCTTGGGGCTTCCTGGGGGTCTCTTGGAGGGGGCCTGGGACGTCTTGGAGGCTTCTTGGACGGTCTTGGGGCTATCTTGGGCGTTTTCGGCCGATCTTTGGGCGACTCGGGGCCCTCTTGGGCCGTCTCGGGGGCCATCTTGGGCATTCGGACCTCATTTGGAGTGTTTTCGAGGTTTCTAGGCCGCCCGAGGAAAAACGAATCTGCCCCCTCACCCCCCCCGGGACCGGGACCCCCCCCGGGCCCCCCCCCCTGGGGAAGGGATCACAGGGAAGGGGCTTCCCTTCGACTCGATTACGACACTGCTAGATTTGTCTCTCGCTCACGAGCTTGAGAAGGAAGCTGCAGGGAAAGGGGACGACGGAGGCAACGACCGACGGAGACGACGACTCGAACAGCCAAGCCCCTCGCACACGCCGACAGGGTCGGCGGATTAGAACATGTTTGGATGCTAAGAAATTTCGTGGTAGGCCTATAGGATTGCCGGGACGGTCGGTCCCTGCTCAAGACTGGGGTGACTTTTGGTGCGCTCCTTTAGGGGCGCCCGTGGGGGCCCAACGCAACCGCGCAAGCCGCTGTTGTCGCACTGCATCGACAATCGGCGGGACGCGCCTCGACAGATCCTCAGCGTCAGCGGGGAGTCGCAGACTTCCGCCAGTTCGATTCGAGTACCCCACGTGGCACCCCGAAGGCCACCGCGATCAGGTCTGGCTTTGACGGGCCGCGTCGCAATGACGTCCGACCAGGTCCGGCGTCGTGGCCAAACCCGGGGCCAAAAAAGTGCAGGGAACATGTTTGATGGTTTTGGGGGTATGAGTTTCAATCGTAAAGAATCCCATGGGTCCAGAAAGAAAATAAAAGATATTCCAAAATTGTCAAAAAGGTGTTCGTTCATCAGACGACTTGGGGTGTGGGCTGGGATTCGGGACCGGTCCTGGGGCGGAAAACGCGCCGCCTGGTCAACCGGTCCCCCCCTCGGGAAACCGACTCGCGTTGTACGGCAGGATGCGCCGCGTTGCGGTCGACTGCGTGGGGGGGCCCAACCTGGGCGCGCTCAGATGCGAGCGCGACCCCACCCCGCGGGTGCCGACGCGAGGGCGAGCCCAACCCCAACACCTACCCGACCCCCTCGGCCAAGCACCAAAGGGTCACTTCTGCGAGGGGTCACTCTTTCTGTGTACCCGATCGGCCGGCCGAGAGGCCAGGCCCTCTTCCTTTGTGCCAGTGCAGTCGCCCGTCAGCATCGTCTGACCGATCTCACGAGCCCCTCGCGCTCGGGCAATCTGTCTATCCGTCCACTCCATCTTGGAGTTTTGGGCTCCTCTCCCCAGAAGCCCGAGGCGCAGTGGATATGGGTATGAATATGGCCCTGCAGAGGCTAGATGTTTTATCCAGGTACACTGCGCCTCGGTTGGGGCGCCCCTTCCCAGTAAGTCCAAGTCGCAGTGGATATTAGTATGAACATTGGCCGCATCGTGGCCTTCATTCGGAGCGCGATGTTGCGGATATGCGGTCGCACGGATACGCTCCGCGCGAGGCACCCGCGGATGCCCAGACCGAGATGAGATGGGTTTGGGACAGCGTTTTCTATTAGGCATCATCTCCATTTTCGCGTATCCGTGCGTGGCGTGCCAGATCCTCACTGGGCCATGGGATCTCAGCCAGGCCAGCCTGCACCCTCTGGCCGCCAAACCCAAAGGACCCCACAAATCCCCACCCTGTTAGGTGGCAAGTCGGCCATTGGGTCGATGCCATGATGGGGCTCGTCTAAGCGATGCTCAGCTCGGGGTCGTTTGGGGACCGCTCCTCTTTCCTCTTCCCCCTTTCCTGCCCCTTTTCCTCCTTCCTTTTCCCCCTCTCTCTCCCCCTCCAGCTGGCCCGTGTGCTCCGTCACGCGTTCGCCGCGGTCGCATTGCTTCCTCACCATTCCCGCGTTCGATTACGATGTCCAGATTGATTTCCTCTCTGTTTCCAGCTTTCCACACAAGCAGAAGCTAGAAACATAACATCAGCACTTGCCCTGAGATCTAGCCCATGCTTGTCGTAAGCAGTCAGCGGAACCTTGTCTGAGCCTGCACTGGTCCGTCTCAAATACAATGCTTCGGCTCAGACTCGTGTTCATGTTAGTTTCCAGGATACGGCAACCAGTTTCAATCATGCAGTGACGAAACGACATCATCGAACAAAGGAACAATTTCAGGCGAATGGGCGACGCTCGCAACGAGAGCTCTCTCAACAAGGCGATCCGGAAGGCAGCGCGGGCTGACCGCGCAACTTGGATGAACGATTCTTTGGTGGGGGGGAACTGGGGCGCAGTCAAACAGCTACGGAAGAAGCCTCAGACAAAGCACGCTGGAGTCAGGGACATGAACAACAACTTGACCGATACCGCGAGCCGTCCGGATGCTTTTGGCCGACTACTTCGAGAAAGTGCAGTGGCAAGTTATTTTCCCAGAGGTGGTTCCTACAGCTACCCGCCGTCTTGGTACAGAGTTGTCCATAGACGTGCGTCAATATACATTGAACGAACTGATTTTCGTGTTGAGAAAAATGAAGAGAGGAAAAGCAGCTGGCCCTGATGACGTACCACCAGATTTTTGGAAGGTTGTATCTACAGATGTACACGCTTGCCAAGCACTATTGCACGTTTGTCAACGGTGTTGGTCCCAGAAAGACATACCGGAAAAATGGCGCATGGCGAATGTCATCTTGCTTTTCAAGAAAGGAGACGCAACTTTACCAAGCAACTATCGTCCGATCTCGTTGCTCTCGGTGGGATACAAAGCCCTCACGGCGATGTTGCATCAGCGACTGCTTCAAGGAGGTGCAGAAGATCGATTACGACACTCACAGTTTGGATTCCGGCCTCGCCGGGGCACCGCCGACGCGCTCTTGCTCGTGAGGCGCATGATCGACGCAACGCTGATGAACAATAACGGTGGTGTTATTTTGCTTCTCTTTGATTGGGCAAAGGCGTTCGACCGATTGAAGCCAGAGTGTTTGTGCGCAGCTTTGACAAGATTTGGGCTACCGCAACTTTTCGTGCAAATGGTCAGAGGATTTTTGTTCGCGCAGGTATTTCACTATGCTAGACCATTGTGGTAAATCTTCGCAACGACGCCAAACTGCCGGTATTGCACAGGGGTGCCCGTTGTCACCGTATTTATTTATCATTGTGCAGACGGTGATGCTTCAGGACGCTCTGTCGGACCTGCGCCTTCAACGAGATCCAGACCATGTGGTCTCTTAGGGATATTATGTACGCCGACGACACTGCGTTGGTATCTCAACATGCAGGAAACCTACAGATCATGCTGGACGCAATTGTGGCAGAGGGGCGGAAGTACGGATTGGAATTGAATTGGGACAAGACGGTGCAACTTCAAATCGGTTCTGTTGGCTTTGTGAGAACGCCAGATGGGGATCCGATCGAGATTGTGAAGGAAACTATTTGTTTGGGGGGGCTCGTAACCCATGACGGACGCGTTGGCAATGAAATTTCGAGACGACTCGGAGAAGGCAGAGGTGTTTTTTCATCAACTTACTAAATTGTGGACACGCCGCGGTTGGTTGGCGACGCAAGATACTCATATACAACAGCTGCGTGCTCAGCAAACTGTTGAACTCGTTGGATTCGCTGTGGCTTCTTAAGCACGACAGAGACTAAGGAACCCACAGTCTTACATCTCGCGCGTCAGTAACGTGAACGTACTGGAGAGAGCTGGATCACAACCGTTGTCCTCAATCTTACGTGAGCGGCAAGTGCAACTCTACCGGAGAATTGCTTCTGAGACCGGCGGGTCGCTCGTGAGGCGCATTGTGTGCAATCGCAACGGCGCGCCCAAAAAGTGGGCTGACCGCAGACGCCGGGGGCGCCCCAGACAGCAATGGGCAGCCTCTGTTTATCGAAGCATAGCTGTCTTGTGACGTCACGCGTGGATGCCGAACTTTATGATACGCCTACGCGTCTGTAAGGGATGCAAGGCCGCAGTCAGTCAGTCAGTGAAAAAAACACGAGTCAACATGTTTCTCCATGCCAGCATGTCGACGCGAGGACGCAAGCGACGACAGTGCAAAGCGCAGTTTGCTGCAGCTCGGTACGCCCATGGCCGATTGCCCGAGTCTTTGCGTTGCATTCTCCCTGCCCGCGCAGTTTGCTCGTGGAGAGATCATTATCCGATGACCTCAAAGTAGAGATGGCGATGCAGGGCCAGTCGTACATGTCTTTCGAGCTCAAGGCCAGTGGCGACGTGAAGTGCTGCTTCGGCGGGGCAGACCAGGTGTTGCCGACATCAGTTCTAATCATATACCTGCGACCCGCCCTCTCGCGCAAGCGCCATCCCTTCCACGCGCGGCGCCGCCTTTGGCGGTTCGCGTTCGCCGCGGCTGCGTCGCCTTGCCCAAGCTTCCCGCGATGCGTCTTCGTTCGCTTACGTCCCTCGATGTGCCTCCCTCCCCCCATGGTTTCCACACTGGTCGGGCGCCCTGCAGGGCCCCCCCGCATCTTCGGTGCCCTGCCGCTGTGCTCCCTCGTCGCGCGGGCGCAGCTGTGCCTCGCCCCCCCGCAGACGTGCGCGGCCCGAGCGGCCGAGGGCGACGCCTCGAGTCAGACCAGCCAGTTGGACGCCCCCAGGTTGGCCAAGGCTGGACCTCAACGGGTTTTTTTGGGCGATTTCGTGGGCCGTGGTCGTATCGATGCAGTTTTGCGGCGAGGGCGGGTCGCAGACAGAGCGAGGGAAGCCGAAGACGGCGCGGGAACGAAACACACCGCTTGGGTTTTCAGCCCTGTCCCCAAGCAGTGCTCATACTTGGGGGCTCCTGCCTGTCTTTGAGGTCGGTGGGCGGGTCCGTCGAGGCTTCCTCGCCTGGTGGGCGGCTGCGGTGGCCGGTCGTGGGCGCCCTGTAGGCGCCGCGGTTGGCGGCTGCAGAGCCTGCACCGCGCCGAAGCGGTTGCACGGCACACGTCGGACCACGTGGCTCGCACTGCGTGGCTTTTGCCACGCATCCGTCACCACTCAGAAGCCGGGCGACGGCCGGCAAGCCCTTGGCTGCTAGACCGGAGCTCTGGGGAGTTATTTCTGCGTCTTTCGGAGAAGCAGCCCTTTTACTATTCAGTGCGCTGAGCTTGATTCCGGGAATCTGTTTTTCCCTTCCAGTAAGACCGTTTTAGCAGCCACGGATTTGCCAGCCTTCGCCCAGCTTCCAAACCACAGCGCTTACACCACACAGTTCACACCACGAAGTTTGCACCACGCAGTTTGCACCACATATCTGGTGGCCTTCGGCTCATACCGCCACCGTGCCTGGGCGGCGGTTCAGGCACCTCATTGGATGCAGGTCAGGATCTCTTGGGATGCCCTTCGGGAGACTCTTGGAAGGGTCTTGGGGGCTTATTGGGGGCCTCTTGGGGGCCTCTTGGGGCGTCTTGGGGTGGCCTGGGGAGCCTCTGGGGTTCTTGGGGGTATCTTGGGGCGGAAGGCTCGAAGTGTCCGTTCGTGTTCCCCTCCTGGGCCCCGCCCTCTTTGGTGCCTCTAGGGCCGTCTTGTGAGCCTCTTGGGTCGTCTTGCGGCCCTCCTGGGGACCTCCTGAGCAGTCCTGGGGCGCGTTTGGGGGCTGTAGACAGTTAGTTGAGAAAGGCGAGAAGGCTAAACTCATTCAGTAACCGTATAGAATTCAATGATGTTGGCCTCTTAGGGCCCTCTGCGGAGCTCTTGTGGTCCCCTTGGAGCTTCTTGGGGGGCCCCTTTGGCCGTATTTCAAGCCATCTTCACGATCTGGGGGCGATTTTGAGGCGACTCGAGGCTCTCTTCGGCCTCCTCGGTCCCTCCGGGCTCATCTTGAGACCCTTTTGGCCCTGGCTTCTACTAGGAGACGCACCCCCAGGAGCTCCGCAAATTCCCGGCAGCGTCCTGGGAACCAGGAGTCCGGGCTCTTGAGAATTTAGAGTCCTGGCTGCAGCAGCAGCAGCACAGCTGTGAGCCTTGGGGCACTCCACTTTGTGCCAACGGCACGGTGGCGGATATTGAAACGCATGCTGTAACTTGCTTCACATAGTTTACACAACCTAGCTCGCACGACAGAACTTGCAGCACACTGCTTATACCACAAAGTTTGTACCGCATAGCTTGTGACTAGCACCACATGTATTCTCCATTCAAAACAGAATAGACTTTGCCACCCTTCTCCCCCTGGGCTTATCGGCCCCCCTGGGACACTGCAAATTATGATTCTGCCTCATCTTCCGTTTTGAATTTGTAATCGTACCATCCCAGGCAGGCCTTGTATCGCCCCCCCGCCGTCGCTACTATTATCATCGTCGCCGCCGTTGTCGACGTCATCATGCGACTGCGCCCGCTCGAGTCACCGACCCGCACTGAAGTGCCCGCTCGCTGGCGTGGCCTCTGACACGCGCTGGGAAGTTCTCATCGGTAAGCGCCATCACGAGAGCATCGGTTGTGTCAATCCAATGGGTCGCTCTGCACGCGAGCTTGCGCGCGCGAGCGCAGCCGCAGAGATGAGCCACGTAGGCACCGCAGTCGAGGCCGCAAGGGTTGTGCAACGCAGGTTGCGGGTTGGACGACGGGATGATCGCGCGAGCAGCGGAGTTGACGACTTCAAGCTCGGCAGGACTGACTACACCACACAGGTTGCACTACATGCGGTTTTCCCTTGGGAGCCAAACGACCCAGCGCTTGCCTATCAGTTTTTGGATGGCCATCCCTCTCCAATGGTGTACGACGTCCTACAGGAGAACACGGGCCCGCAAGGAGTGGTGCCCGTCCCGGGGAGGCTCCCGGGCCAGAGCGCCAATGCCGAAACAGGCCCTCTCGGCTCGAGTCTTCGTTTGCTATCCTGGCAGTGAGCGATCCTCCCCCCACGCCTTCTCACGGCACCCGTTCGTGCAGAGTCTCGCCCGGAATTTCCGTTAGCGCACGATGTGGTGTTACGGGTTGCCGCTCCCCTTCCCCGAAAGAGGCACGAGCACATGCATGCGCACGGCGCTGGCGTTTTTCGTTCGCTCGCCCACCCTGTTGCTTCGCTCCCTGTCTGCTTGTTACGCGGGCGGGCCGAAACTCAGTCTCGCGTAGGATGGCGATTTCGAGATACCTGCGGCGTGGGGCCTGATGCATCGGGTTCCACGTCGGCCCGCGGGCGTTGCCGCCGTCGTTGAGATTATTCCAACGTCTTTTCCAAAAGGTTTTCATGGAAACGTCGAACTGATGTTTAGATCGTTTATGCCACATTGTTTGGTGGAGGGCCTCCGAGCGGGTGGTGAGGACCAGGGGGAGTGGATATCATGGGCGCGGCACCCCTTTGCTGCTTCAGCGCGCTGCCTTGCCCCCCCCCTCGTCCGCGCACGTGCCGCGGGCCATGATGGGCCAGCCCCCATCTCTCCTGTGGAGTCCGCTTCATGTCATCAGAATCTCATCTCGTCCGCTTCGATTCATCCAAATTTCATTTCGTCCGTTTCGACTCGTCCGCCGCTTCGGTTCGTCTGGACGAAGCGGAAGAGGACGAAACAAGAGAGAGAGGAAGAAGCGAAAGACGACGAAACGAAGGAGGACAAGCCGAAAGAGGACGAAACGAAAGCAGACGAAATGAAGGTCCCCTTTCCTGGCCCCCCCTCTTCTCACCGCCGACCAAGCCGTCCCAACCCAACCCGAAGGCTTCGATCTGCCCTCCATTTCCAGCGAGGGGGGGCGGGTTGGGTCTTACTCTTCGGCGCATCCGAACCTTCAGACGCGCCTGTCTGCGCGGCCCTCTCCCAGCTTCTCCTGCGCGCCCCGCGGCGGCGCCCTCTGCCGCCCCGCCCCCCTCCCCCCGGCCTTGCCCCCCCCCCCCCCGCGCGCCTGCAGAGGGCTGCGAGGGCTACCGGGAGTACAGCCCCTACTCCGGCGTCCTGAAGGCGCCACCCGCCTCTCCCCCTCCTCCTCCTCTCCTCCTCCCTCCTCCTCCCTCCTCCCTCCTCCCTCCTCCTCCTCCTCCCTCCTCCTCCTCCTCCTCCTCCTCCTCCTCTCCTACTCCTACTCCTGCTCCTACTCCGATCCTTATTCCTTATTAGAATATACTCCTACTCCCCCCTCAGGCCGGCCAGATAGGGGCCGCATCCGGGTGGTCCCATCCTAACCTGTAAAAAACAATACAAAATCAACATTTTTCTTATTTTTTCCTCTCGACATGGACGTCCTGTCGTCCACGGCGATAATCCATTGCAAAAAAAAACCACAAAGAGCACACGCGCGCGTTCATGTCAGAATCCTACCGAACACCGTGTGTTTGCAAGCATTTCAACATAAAAACATCAAAAACCCAATGTTTTTTTTCACAAAAATTGTACAAATTTCCCGCCCGGGCTCTCTTGCTGAAATCATAGGAAAACCATAGGAATCTTAAGAATTCGGTCAAATCCAACGATTTCACGTCATCGCGCGGTGCACTCGCGATGCTCTGTCATGCACCCAGGCCGCGAATCCTGTGCAAAAAATACACAAAGAGCACACTCGCGCGTTCATGTCAGAATCCTACCGAACACCGTGTGTTTGCAAGCATTTCAACATAAAAACATCAAAAACCCAATGCTTTTTCACAAAAATGCTTTGGGGTGTCCTGTCAGACCGTCGGGCTTCCTCCGGCCACCTCTGGCTTCCTGCGGTGTACCGGGCCATTCTCGACTCGTCTGGCAATGCGTGCGCGGCATTCAACACGCGCTCGCCAGTTCCCGTCGGCAACCGCCATCGCGGCCGCATCAGCTGTACCAAACCGGCTGGCCGGTGTGACTTCGGCCCCCAGTTGTGCCAGCTTTGCTTCTTATGTTGTGGGAGGGCGGGTGGGACTGGGCATGCCATGCTTGACTCGCTCGAGCTGGCTAGCTTGACTCCTACTCCTACTCCTACTCCTCCTCCTCTTCCCTCCTCCTCCTCTTCCCTCCTCCTCCTCCTCCTCCTCTCCCTCCTCCTCGTCGTCTGGCCGCTTCCCCATCTTGCGCTCCCTCGAGCATCACCCAGAAGGTCTCCGCATGTCTCCACGTCTAGTCTTATGATGTTCCAACCTACTTCTAGCCTGGATCACCAGAGAGAGTTTCGAGCACCAAGGAAATACCGAAATTGAAGGGTTTTCACGCGTCGGGCCCTGAGAGGCGATACTCGTCCGACACTGTTGCGATACTTTTTTGGGTGCTTGACATTTTTTGGGGGATGTGGTCCTTAAGTACGAAGAGAGCGGCAAGTCTAGTCTTGTTCAGGAGCTTTCGTGGGGCCTATTGTGGAGGCCTTGCGGCGGGCGCCGCCGACCTTGAAGGGAAACGACAACGACGAAGGCGGCGACGGCGACAACGAACAACCTTTGGGTGAACTCAAGGGATTTCAGATTTCAGCCGCAGGACCTGAAAGTAAAACCGATAAACCGATAAACTATACCGATCAACCGATAAACCGACTCATCGCAAGCGTGTCCGAATATCACGCAGTATGGTTTTATCAGCTTATCGGTTTATCGGTCTATCGGTATGTTTCTCCGTTTACCAGTGTATCGGTTTGTCGGTTTACCAGTTCATCGCTCAATCGGTTGATCGGTTGATCGGTTTATCGGTTCGGAGATGTCGTAGTTGTCCGAGCGGTCATCCGTCGAAATCTTTTTTGAGGATTCCTGGAGAATTCTTTGGACCACTCCGAGTGGTAATCCTTCTGCAATTTTCTGATGACTCCTTTGTCCTGAGGAACTCTCGGGGATCCCACGGAATCTTCACAATAACCATTACCACAACATCCAAAACCATAACAGCTACTACTACTCCTATGTGTTACTACCGTTTCCGCTGCTGTCACCTGTGCTACAACAAGTATGATTCCAATGTATTACAATGGTAGTTGCTGTTGTTACGGGTGCTGATACAACAACAGTTGCTACTATCATTATCACTACATCCACACATACCATTGTTGATGCTACTATTCTTCTCCCATGGGTTACTATCGTTACCACTACTGCTACTGTTCCAATGCAACTACAACTACTCTTGCGATCACAACTTCAACAACACTTACGATTGAGGCTACCGCAACTATGCGCATGTGTTCAGTGATCGTTGCGGCTATTGCTATTAATAACAACACAAGTGCTAAATATACTACGGCACCAGCAAATATTATCGTGGCTACCGCTGCGATGCACATGTGTTATTCTCGAGGTGGCTACTGTTATTCGTACGAGCGCAGCTATTCGAACTACTACTGCTCCTACTGCTACTGCTACTGCTACTGCTGCTGCTGCTGCTACTAGTATTACTACTACGACGACTACTGCGGCGCTCCTGTTGTTGATATTACTACTACCACAGCTATTACTAGCACTCCCTGCTACGATGGGTATTTGCAAAGCTACAACGAGCATGCTGCTGTTGTTGATGATGATAATGCTGTTGCTGCTGACGATGATGAAGTGGAAACGATGCTGAGGGGGAGGAGGGGGCGGGGAGCAGGAAGACGCGCAGGAGGAGGGGGAGGAGGCGGAGGGAAAAGGAAGAGGGGGAGGATGAGGAAGAGGAGGAGGAGGGAAGAGGACAACGAGGAACGGGAGGAGGAGGCCTTCGGCGGCTGTCTGAGACTCGGCCCTCCTTAGGGGCGCGGAGATAATCGTGCTTCGCGCGTCGCGGCCTAGGCTACAGTTCTGGCCTCCTCCAAGGTGGCCTCGCGATGGCCTCGCGAGGGCGCGAAGAACATCCACAACCATGACACCTACTACTATTACTATTACTACTACTGTGGCTACTACTACTACTACTACTACTACTACTACTACTACTACTACTACTGCTATTACTACTACTACTACTACTACTGCTACTACTACTACTACTACTACTACTACTACTACTACTACGACTACTACGACCACTACGACTACTACGACTACTACTACTTTTACTACTATTACTACTACTACTACTACTGCTACTACTACTACTACTGCTACTACTACTACTTCTACTACTTCTTCTACTAGTTCTACTACTCTTGCTTCTTCTACTACTACTACTACTACTACTACCACCACTACTACTGCGACTACTGCTGCTGCTACTACTACTATCACTACTACTACCAGTACTACTGTTGCTACTACTACTACTACTACCACTACTATTACTACTACGACTACTCCTACGGCTACTACTAGTACTACGACTACTACCTTTTATTTCTACTGCTACTACTACGACTACGATTATTATTACTATTCTTACTATTACTATTACTACTACTACTACTACTACTACTACTACTACTCCCATTTGTTACTACCGTTTCCGCTGCTGCCACCCGTGCAACTAAAAGTAGAATTAATTTTCAAACTTCTACGAATGCGGTCCCCATGTGCTAATATCGTTGCCCACAGGTTCTCGGATTGTCTCAAGACCTTTTGAGTTTTCATCATGTTCGATGCCTTGCCCAGCAGTCGCCGTGCCATGTTGGAGCCGTGTTTGGCCCGTCTTGAGCCGCAGGAAACCCGAATAAGTTGTAATGACCGGAATCTTCGGAGCGTCCATGCTGTTTTCTTCATCGGGCGTTGCTGGAGATTCCCTGGGGGACATTTTGAGTCCGTCTTGGGGACACTGCCTCGGAGAGAAGGAGCGGTGCGCGCGCCAGGGCGCTGACAGAGAGGGGTGGGGTTCTTGGAAGATCTCATAAACCCATCCAGACAGCACAAGGCATTCGAGCACGCCTCAACATGCCAAGAGGTGCAATGGCTGGGAAGTTCTTCTTCATGGAGAATTCGAGTTGCGCGAACCTGAAGTATATAACGGCCTTCGGCACATGCCGCCGCAGTGCCTGGGTTTGGGTCACAATCCACGGGGACATTTGTTTTGAATCTCTTCGGAGCGCTTTCGGGAACCTCCGGGTGCATTGTTGGGGCCTCTTGAAGGCTTATTGGGGAGCCTCCTGGAACTGCCCGGGCCCCTTTTGGACAACCTTTGGGGGCGTGCTGGGGGCCCCGTGAAGTTTCCTGGGAACTGTTTGGGGCCGAGATTTCCGAATGGCAATTCGGGTCCCGCGTTTGGGCCCCGTCCCGCACCCGTATGAGAGACTTGCCTAGGAGATTCGAGAATGTGGGATCTGGGCCCTTCGGGAACCCTTGATCGTGAGGACTGAGGACTTCATGGGTACTGGGGACATTTAACCTCGCGCCTCGGGGTACGGTGGCTGGTCAAAACGATAACCGCAGGCAGCTGGCGCCAAGCGTGAGTTGGACTGTCCTAGTAGTGAGGTACACTTGCCCGCAGAAGGAGCGGGAGTACAAGTGCGTGTTCCAGATCATCGCCGCTTTAGGAAAGGAGCCATCGTCGTCGTCATAATCATCATCATCCTCATCGTCACCATCGCCACCATAATCACCATCATCTTCGCCATCAGCATGCGCATCATTATCGCCGCCGTCGTCATCGTCACCATCATCGCCACATTGCCGGCGCTGGCGACACTCACGGCGACGGCGACAGCGACGGCGACAGAGAGATACGAGCTGACATTTCGAGGTACGAGGCCTGGCGCCGTCGTCGTCGCCGTTGTCGTCGTCGCCCTCGTCCTCGTCCTCGCCCCCGTTTCGGCTGGCCCGCCGGCGGCTCAGGAGGAGGAAGAGGAGGATGATGATTAGGAGGAGGAGGAGGAGGAAGAGGAGGGAAAGGAGGAGGAGGAGGAGGAGGAGGAGGAGGAGGAGGAGGGGGAGGAGGAGGAGGAGGGGGAGGAGGAGGAACAAGCCCGTTTTGCGTGAGACATTCTCGGAAATCTGGGTTCCAACGCGCCACGACGTGTAATTATTTAAAGGGTATCGCCATACACATTTGCACAATTCCGGCGCATTCCGCTTGACACATTTTCGGCATTCTGAAATCCGATATGTTTCGAGTCTAGGTGATCCGGCCACCGTCGCCTGAGCCATCTTCGCATTTTTGGATTCCGAGATGCCCTGCCCCGTAGTACTCCAGCCACTTTCGCCAAAAACATCCTCGTAATTCTAAATTCCGAAACGCTTTCGGCTGAGGTGGACATACTTCTTTTGCTTGAGACATCCTCACACATCTGACCTCGGAAGTGCCCTGCCCCATGGTGGTTTGGCCACTTTCGCTTGTAACATCCCCGCAAGTGTGTTTGCCGAGACGCCCAGGGTTGAGGTGTTCAGGCCACTTTCGCGTCAGACATCCTCGCAAGTCTGGCCGCGGAGTTGCCGTGCCCCCAGCCTCATGGTGGTCAGGCCACTTTCGCCTGCTGCATCCTCGCACTTGTGAGTTCTGGGATGCCCTGAGCTCACACATTCGCGCCGTTTTCGCTTGAGACATCCTGGCAACGCTGACCTCATATACTCCCTGCCCCAAATTGTGCTGGCCACGTCCGCCTAGACGAGCTCGCTGTGTTGACCTGGGATGTGCCCTGCCTTGAAGTAGTCTGACCCCGGATCTGCCGCGAGGTGTTCAGGCCATTTTCGCGTGAGACGCCCTCGCACCTCTAACTTCGGAGATGCCCTGCCCATGGCGGTCCGGCCAGTTTCGCCTGCGACATCCTCGCAACAATGGATTCCGAGACGCCTAAAGCTGACTTGTTCAGGCCACTTTCGCATGAAACATCCTCGTAATCCTCGGTTCTGATATGCCCTGAGCTGAATGGTCAGGCCACTTTCGCCATATACATCCTAAGATATCTGACCTCGGATATGCCCTGCCCCAAGTTGGTTCGGCCATTGTCGCCTGAGACCCTCGCAGGGCCTGCACAACCACGCAGATCATCGTATGCGGCGGGAGAGGCTCCGACCCCTGCGGGACTCCGTCCGCACAAGAGCCACTCACAAAACTCACGCTGATCAGGGAAAGCCGCCCCAGAGCCGTCGCCGTCGTCGTCGCGGCGAGGGCCTGACAACCGGCCGATGAACCGATAAACCGGTAAACCGATATGCGGCGCAAGGATCGGCTCCTCAGGGTTGCCCCCAGTGGATTCAGACCTGCCAGTCACCCGATGAGCCGATAAACCGATGATCCGATGAACCGACGAAGAGAAGGAGAGCGCGCCGGCCATCCTCTCTATATATTTGCGGATAAAGGTGATCGGTTTTTCTGTATATCGTCAGATCGACCGATAAACCGATACAATCATATATGTTTGTCGGACGATTTGCCGATGTACCGATCAACCGATTTTATAGGTTTATCGTTTTATCGGTCGGATGGATTTCCGGAGGCCGTTGCCGCTGCACTCGGAATTCATATAATTCTCCGTCTCCACTTCTTGAGGAGCCTTCATGTGGCCTGTGTCGGCTGGATTTGGGCTGGCTTGGGCTCGTGTGGGGCGGTGTTTGGGGCTTTCAAGCCCTATCGGGCCGTCTTGGGGCTATCTTGACTGTATAGGTAGGTGGTCACTCGGGGCCGTCCTTGGACTTCTTAGGCCGTCTACGGGCACTTTGTATCCTGGATCCCTCTGGAGGCACTCTTGGGCCCGCTTGCCTCTCTTGGGGCCGCCCTGGTCCATCTAGGGTCCCTCGTGTGGCTCCAGACCCTCGAAGACTGTAAAGGATTGATGTTCGACCGAAGAGAGTGGAACACAGCATGCATCGACAACCATTGCCCTTGCGAAGAAATAAGTCCGCTTCTCGAGGGCGTCCTGGAGAGTGTGTTGAGGGTGCGCTGGGGGCCTGTCTGAGACTTCTTCGGACCTATCAGGAGCTTTTCGTGGGCTCTTTGGGTACACATTGAGCGAAGCTATGCCATCTTGGTGGCCTTGGTGTCTTCCCTCGGCCGTGCTGGAAGCCTCGGCTGCCGTGGCGAGCCCCAGGGCGGTCTTGGCCGCCCAGAGAGCCTCGGGAGAGAAGGCAGGTGCACATGGGGAAGCGGGCGGAGACGGGGTTGTTGCCTCTAAAGACTTACAGGAAGCCCTAGCGTTAAGTCGGGCCTGTCCCCCTACAGGGGGAATATCAAAAAATAGTCAAAACATAGTCTGGGGACTATTTTGGAAGTATTGTTTGACTATTTTTGAGCGTTTTTTGATTATTGATTATTTGTTGTCTAAAATCCCCCTGTAGGGGGACAGGCCCGACCTAACCCTAGCAGACAGCACTTGACATTCTTCCAGGCCTCAGCGTGCCAAGGGGCAGGGCGGCGGATCTCTCGAGCAGAACGGGTCTCCCTACCGACGGTCCTGCTCTCTGGATCGCTTCGCCCCCCCCTCTGGAGTGCCCGGGGGCGTTGGCCGCGGCGCGTCCGCGGGGGTGCCCCGGGGGGGTCTGGGGTTCGTTCCCCTCCCCGTTGGGGCGCGGGGGTGGTGCCGGGGGGGGTTGGCCGCACCGCGTTTTCACGTTTGTCACCCCCCGGTTGATGAATAAGAAATTCGGAGTACGGTACCTGGGCCTGATGGATCCGAGAGGATTCCAGGGACCGGATCGCGACGCCCAAAGATCCCCAGAGCCCCGCAGTCGAGTGCCTTGCACAGCGTGAACCCCCAGAGATTTGGACCCTCTGCCCGGGGCCAGCCTCAGCTGTTTCGCTGACGGTCCCCATGAGTTTGGAGAATAGAACAGGTGTATGGTATAAAAGGATGTGGTGCTAATGTCATGTAAACGGGAATCTGGCGATGTTCTTCATCGCAGGTAGCATTGCCATTTCCACGACTGGCACCATACCCCTTTCTGCCACGCCCCTTTCCGACTTCAAAAATGAGGACGAACACGACCGCAGAGTATCCGTCGCGACCTCGCCGCGAGAAGGAGGTCTGTGTCTCTTCTCTTGGGGCGGTGGCGCACGGCTCACCCCCCCACACATCCGATCGCCTGGTCTGTTTAGTATGTGGATAGGTCACGAGCAGAGGGGGGTGGGGGAGGGGGGAGGGCTTCTTAGAAGTACCCCTGCTTCTTAGAAGGCGCGGGCCTCATCTACTGATGTACGTAAGGCCGGCGCCTTCTAAGAAGCAGCCTCCTTCTCAGAAGCCCTCCCCCCTCCCTCCGCCCCGTCGTGCGCGCCGCCAAAATGCTGTGCACCCCTGGGCGTCCCGACCCCTCCCTCGGGGCCGTTTTCCTCATCGACCGATCGCCAGCGGCACGAGAGTTGCCTGCGTTGTTACGGGGCGCCTTCACGCCTCGTGGCAAGCATTTGGACACCCGGTCTAAGTCGGGCCTGTCCCCCTACAGGGAGATTTTGGACGAAAAATAACAAATAGTCAAACAATGCCCCCAAATGGCCAAAACATACTCAAAGAATAGTCCCCAGACTATTTTTTCCCAACCATCCTGTGGTGTTGGGTCCTCGTTTTGAAGAGACGGTGCCCCGCGTTCCTCTCCTCTCCTCTCCTCTCCTCCTCTTCCCCCTCCTCCCTCCTCCCATCATCATCATCATCATCATCATCATAGCCAGATGTTTGTGTCGTCCTGGTCTGAGTTTGATCCGTCCCATGGCCGTTCTTGCTCCGCAACCATTCAAGCGCAAACAAAGACAGCGGCCGCTTCATGCCTCTGTCCTCCGTGGCGGTCGGCCTCGCCCGTGTCGGCTCCTGGATCGTGTCTGACAAGGCCTGGGGCATCGTGGAGAGCACCCTCGGCAACGCGACCGAGTGTGCGGTCGCGTACGGCTTGGTCGGCTCGCTGAAGTGGGGAGCAGCTCTGCTCTCCATTGCATCGTTCCTCGTCGGGGTGTTCATTGGACGCTATGCCGTTCCAAGTTCGTGCAGGACAGCGGTTCGACATCCAGTGGCGCGGTGGCGAGAGCATGCAAGCTCGCGTCGCCATCGCGCCGTGCACGCCGACCGACTATCAGGAAGTGACGAGTCTAGCTCCGAGCGAGAAAGCCGAGGAGGACGGGAGGTTGTGGTATATGGCGACGCCCGACGGAGACGTTTACCCTCACGAGCTGACGGTCCAGGCGCTGCGCATCATCGTGCCATACGACATGAGGGATCGGAGGCAGCTGCTCAACAGAGAAGGGGCCAACCCGGTGGGCGTCGGCACGTACGGCAGGGACTGGGTCATGAGCCCCGCGGCCTTCGCGCTGCAGTTGCGGTTCGTCTTGGGGCAATCGCTCGACGAGGTGCTGGAAACGGCGGTGGTGTCGGCTGGGGCCCCCGAGGAGCCCGAGGCGGAGGCGAGGCCAGCGGCGGCGAGACCGCCTTCAGGATCGGCCTTGGCCTCGGCGGAGATTCCGACTGAGTGGGGCCTCGGCCGCGGACGCCTCCTTGACCCCTCGCCGTCGCGTTGGCGCTGTATCGCCTCGAGCGACGGTGGGGGAAAGGGCCTGCTGCCCGACGAGGATCTCGACGCCTTCGTGCTCGCGTCGGGGTTCGGCATGGCGATGAAAGGGGGGCCGCACGATGTTGGTGCGGGCTCTCCCTCCTGACGGCGGCGACGAGCTCGACGCGCGCGTGCTCGCGCTGCGGGCCAACGCCACGGAGCGTTTCCTCGGGATGCGTGAGGCCGTGGCGGAGCTCACCGAGACGCACTGGGATTTCTTCCCGATCAGTGGGCCCCGCACCGTGAAGTGGGCGTGTGAGTTCGTGCGAGAGAATGACGTGACATTCAGATCTCGGCACGCCAAGTTCAAGGCCGAGACGGGGCTGTCATCCTCGGACCAGGACGTCTCCGTCCACGAGCTCTGCTGCCGCAGCATGCACCTGCTGCTGACGTACGACCAGCTCAATGGCAGCGAGCTGTCGTGTGCGGAGCTGGTGTGCCGCCGACTCCAGATGGCCGAGTACCGCCATCGCGAGAGGGTTCTCACGACGTCCCGAGGTGACGAGCTGCTCGAGGACTCGCACCTGTACCTCGGGACGGGCGAGACCCGCGGGCTGGTCTGCATCTCGCCGAAGCCGCTCACGTTCGTGACGGACGAGCTCCACAAGGAGAGCCTCGTCCTCAAGGAGCGGCGGAAGCTGAAGGAGGAGCGGATGGCCTCGCGGGGGGATGACGCACACGGTGTTGGCGGCGGCGGTGACGGCAGGGCGCGGCTCTCAGGGATGCAGAGCACCGTCGATCGGCAGAAGTCGGAGATCGAGAAGTTGAAGAAGCAGTTGGCGGGTGGACCCAAGTCGGACCCTAAGGGAAAGGGCCGTGGAGGTGCCGCCGCTGGCGGGGAGGGGGGCTGACGCTCCCTTCCATTTCACGATCGTGGTGGTCCAGCGGGACATCCTCCCGACCCCGCTGGACCTGGCGACTGCGCACTTCGAGCGGCGCAACCACAATGCATGTTTTTCGAATTCCCGAGGTCGGCGGAGTCGGGGCCGCCAGCAGCTGGCCGTCGAGCTGTGGACCTGTGAGGTCGTCGCGGCGCTCAACTTCCTCAACGGGCGCCTGGGCGGCGACGGGTTCGACAAGCTATCGGCGGCGCAGCTCACTGGCATCGAGTCGCTCTACGGCCACCTGTTGGAGTTCGGGCCTCCTGATGTCAGTCCCACGGCGGCCTACACTGAGCTGCGTGGTTGTTCTCCTGGGTACGACATGTCCCCAGCGAAAGCGGTTCTGTTCACCGAAGGGAGCGTCGCGGTGCCTTCGGACTCCAGGAAGTGCGAGCCCGCCTACCTGTTGTCGGAGTCCGTGCGCGACTTGTGGCAGGACTGGGAGAAGCATCTCTTGCGCCCTCGTAAGGAGTGGCTTGCCAATGTACCACCTCACTTCGACGCCAGGTTGAAGAGCTCGCCGAAGCTCTACGCCAGTTTTTTGCACGATTTGTTCAATGCGGGCATGATCGAATTCACCAGCGAGCGCAAGCACACGCTCGCGCCGTTCTTCGTCGCCAAGCGGGACGGGAGCGGCCAGCAGCGGATGGTTCTGGACACCCGGCGTGTCAATCGTATGTTTTATGACCCCGACGTCGCCGAGCTGCCGACGGCAGGCAGCTGGCAGAGCCTACGGCTCGGGGCCGACAGCAGCCCCTTCCTCGGTCAGTGTGACATCGAGGCAGCCTTCTATCGCTTCCTTGCACCACCTGGTCTGAGCGAGCTGATGGTTCTTCCGAGTATCGATCGCGGTGTTCTTGCCAACGTGCTGCCGAGCGGCACTCTCGACGGCATCGTCGGCCGCAAGTGTTCGCCTTGTCTGAAGGTGCTGCCTATGGGCTGGAACTGGAGCTTGTTCTTCTGCCAGCACGCCGTTGAGGGTATGCTGAGGACGGTAGGCATCGGTGACCACAGGCTCGTTCACGAGAGGAAGGTGATTCCCGACCTCGAGGGCGAGACCGTCGCCGCCGCCTACGTCGACGGCGTCGCCGTGATCGGCTCCAAGTACGACGAGGTCGTCTCTCAGCTGGAGACGGTGCACGGCGCTTTCAACACGGCGGGCCTCAAGTGCAAGGAGATGGAGCTGCCGAGCGAGCACCAGAAGTTCACAGGTCTGATCTTTGACAGAGAGTCTGGAAGGATATCGCTGGGCCGATCGCGGATGTGGAAAGATCCGCCAGGCGCTGCTGTGCCAGGCATCCCAGCGTTACGCCACGGGAAAGGAGCTGGCCAGCCTGGCCGGACACTTCAACTGGGCGGCCCTTCTCCGCCGACCACTCCTGTGCATCTTCCAGTCGACGTATCGGTTCATCAAGAAGGCGGGTGACAGCCGCTGGAGGATATGGCCCGAGGTGATTCGCGAGCTGCGAGTCGCCGCCGCTCTCGTGCCCTTCGCCTACTACGATGCGAAGCGGCCCGTGGACTCGACGGTCTACTCCACCGACGCTAGCACGGGCGACCTCGACCCCGCGGGCAGCTTGTATGGCGGCTACGGGGTCACCAAGCGGGAGCTCGGCCAGCAGCTGGTGTTGGAGACAGCTCGGGTTCGCGAGCGGTGGCGGTACCACGTGGAGGGGGCCCTGCACGCTCGGGAGTTCGCCTTTGCCGCTCGCGACACCTCGGGGGCTCCATTCGACGGGATGTCCTTTGCCACTGTGAGCTCGGACGTCGTCTTCCCGATGGAGACCTGGCGGAACGTGACCTTCGGCCGCTGGTGCCGCGAGGAGAACATCCTGAGGCTCGAGGGGCGTGCCCTCGCGCTGGGCGTGCGCCACAAGATGCGCGCCCTGCGGTCTCGGGGTCATCTTCACCTCATGCTTAATGATAACCTTTCTCTGGTACTGGGAGTGGAAAAAGGTCGGTCCGCATCCCCTTTGATCAATCAGACCTGCAGAGAGTTGTGCAGCTACAGCGTCATTCACGACATGTCCGTAGCCGTGAGATGGCTACCTTCGGAGTGGAACACCTCAGACAAAGGCTCACGCACCGTGACGGGCCAGCCGACTCCCTTTGCAACCGACCCGCGGAATGTTGGCACGGCCTGGGCTAGCCTCGCTCGGGCGGCCGCTGACGAGAAGGCTCGCCGTCTCCACTACGACGATCCTATCGGCCTGCTCCGACGTCGGCGACACGACTTGTGCGACCCCGAGGAGGAGGCCGCCGCCGCCACCACGACCGCAGCGAGCTCGCGCTCTTCGGAAGGCAGGGAAGATCAAGACACCTCCTCCGAGCGCGAAGCCTGGAGCTCGGGCTCCAGCTCGGTCGAAGGCGGCGGGTCGTGTCGAGTTGGCACGTCAGAAGGCAAATCGGGCGAAGCTCAGAGTCATGAAGTTCGGCGGAGCCAACTGCGACCCTCGGCATGGGCTGACCTTCTTGCAGAGGCACAAGGTGCGGGAGGCCACCATCCGCAGCTTCGACAACCACGTGACCAGCTTCCTGGCCTGGGCCGCCGCGCCGTCGCTGGACGACATCACGGCGGACCGCCTGGACGTCCTCCTGGCGGCCTACTTGGACAAGCTGTTCTGGGAGGGGGAGCTGGCGGAGACGGGCTCGCGGCTGCTGGCGTCCGTGCAATACAGGCTGCCGCGCGTGCCGCGACCGAGGCACGGCGGCCTTCCGCTGGCGCGGGCCGCGCTCTCTGGCTTTCGAGTGCACTCGAGGAGCACCCCGATGACGCCCGTCGGGAAGCCGATCGTCTGGGCGTTGATCGGGATCGCCGCGCTCGAGGGGGACTTCGAGTGGGCGGGGGCGGTCGCGCTCGCATGGGACGCGATGATCCGCCTCCCGAGCGACCTCGTCGGCATGACGGTCGACACGCTGGTGGGCCCAGGCCGCGACGCGGAGCCCCGCTGGGCGCTGTTGCTGCACCCGATCGAGGGATCAGCCTGCAGCAAGTCGCTCGCGCAGGACGAGGGCGTGCTGCTGCGGAGCGCGGCCTGGCGTGGCGGAGGCGGGAGCTTCCTGAAGCTGCTCCGCGCGGCACGGCCCGTTGGGTCGCCCCTGTGGTCGTTCAGCGCGGCGACCTTCGGCGCCGAGTTCCGACGACGGCTGTCGCTGGTCCCAGGCGCGCCCGACATGATCCCGTACCAGATGCGGCACTCTGCGGCGTCGCACGCCACGGCGGTCGAGGGCATGCCCCTGGCCGAGCTGCAGGCGCGTCTGCGCCACACGAGTGCGCAGAGCACGGCTCGGTACTCACGGCACGTGCGCTACCTCGCGGAGCTCGAGAAGGTCGACGCCGGGGTGTCGGAGTGGGCCCAGGAGGTCGAGGACAGCATGGGCCAGATCCTCGGCCAGCAGCGGCGGCCACGGCTTCCTCGCTTTCTCAAGGTGGAGGCGCTGGCGTTCGACAGGCCTTGCAGGACCTCGCCCGCGCGTGCCGTGCTGCCGCTGGCCAGACCCTCCTCGAAGTCGGCTTCGGGGCGGGCGAGATCGCACGGGCCGACGACGCCCGTCTCTCGGGCTGCAGTGCTTGGATAAACGGCTCCCTGCTGGCTACCGCCATCGTGTACCGCCGCCTCGTGGGATGGATCTCGTCTCGCTGTGTTCGGGGAGTCGTCTTGATTTGGCCCAGGTTCGGTGAGACTGACGCTAGCAATATTCTAGCCCGTCTTCTTCACAAATGCCTGACTGTCAAGTGTCCTTGCATTGCTATTTTCCCATCAGCAAGCGCTTCCGCGCACTCCGTCCTTTTTAGACAGCTGCTCACCATTTGTGACGGGAGGCATTCGAGGATCTCCCCATGCACGTTTGGCTGCCAACGAGCTAACCACGACAACATGTGGGCTCTGGGGTTCTCGTGTGGGCTCCCCGACGAAGTCGGCGGTCCGTGCCTCCACGCTCACGCGACCCCGCCCACCCCATCGCCTTTTACTCACCTCTCTCGTCCGTGCGCGTCTTGGGTGTGCTCTTGGATTTCCTCTGGAGCCTCGAGGCTTGCGGAAGGGTTCCTCAGCAGACTCTTTCTAGGCATGAAGCGGCCAGATGCCAGGTAGGGCACAGTAGGGTCGTTGTGAAGCGGTCCGAGAGCCGCTCCGTGTTTCGAAGCTCAAGCTTGCACACAACAGATCCATTCGCACAGCTTCGCTGTAAAGAATCGTCTGGCCACCAGGGACCCTCAGACCTAGCCAGATGTTTGTGTCGTCCTGGTCTGAGTTTGATCCGTCCCATGGCCGTTCTTGCTCCGCAACCATTCAAGCGCACCCGCCCTCGTGCCACCCTGCGCTTTAATTAATTTCTTCAGGGGTCGTTGTGAAGCGGTCCGAGAGCCGCTCCGCGTTTCGAAGCTCGAGCTTGCACACAACAGATCCATTCGCACAGCTTCGCTGTAAAGAATCGTCTGGCCACCAGGGACCCTCAGACCTCATCATCATCATCATCGTCATCATCATCGTCATCGTCATCATCATCATCATCATCATCATCATCATCATCATCATCGTCATCGTCATCACCCACCATCATCGTCATCATCACCATCATCGTCACACCTCTCACACGTTTCGTGGCCCCATAGGGAGTTCCACCGAAGGCCCCAGTGCTGCCGCCCGCATGCGTCAGCCACACCCAATTCGGCACACCCCTCACACGTTTCGTGGCCCCATAGGGAGCTCCACCGAAGGCCCCAGTGCTGCCGCCCGCATGCGTCAGCCACACCCAATTCGGCACACCCCTCACACGTTTCGTGGCCCCATAGGGAGCTCCACCGAAGGCCCCAGTGCCGCCGCCCGCATGCGTCAGCCACACCCAGTTCGGCACACCCCTCACACGTTTCGTGGCCCCATAGGGAGCTCCACCGAAGGCCCCAGTGCCGCCGCCCGCATGCGTCAGCCACACCAATTCGGCACACCCCTCACACGTTTCGTGGCCCCATAGGGAGCTCCACCGAAGGCCCCAGTGCTGCCGCCCGCATGCGTCAGCCACACCCAATTCGGCACACCCCTCACACGTTTCGTGGCCCCATATAGGGAGAAGGCCCCAGTGCAGTGCCGCCCGCATGCGTCAGCCACCCCGGCACACCCCTCACACGCTTTCGTGGCCCCATAGGGAGCTCCACCGAAGGCCCCAGTGCTGCCGCCCGCATGCGTCAGCCACACCCATTCGGCACACCCCTCACACGTTTTTGGCCCCATAGGGAGCTCCACCGAAGGCCCCAGTGCCGCCGCCCGCATGCGTCAGCCACACCCAATTCGGCACACCCCTCACACGCTTTCGTGGCCCCATAGGGAGCTCCACCGAAGGCACCAGTGCCGCCGCCCGCATGCGTCAGCCACACCCAGTTCGGCACACCCCTACACGTTTCGTGGCCCCATAGGGAGCTCCACCGAAGGCCCCAGTGCCGCCGCCCGCATGCGTCAGCCACACACAATTCGGCACACCCCTCACACGTTTCGTGGCCCCATAGGGAGCTCCACCGAAGGCCCCAGTGCTGCCGCCCGCATGCGTCAGCCACACCCAATTCGGCACACCCCTCACACGCTTTCGTGGCCCCATAGGGAGCTCCACCGAAGGCCGCAGTGCCGCCGCCCGCATGCGTCAGCCACATCCAATTCGGCACACCCCTCACACGTTTCGTGGCCCCAGCCCGCATGCGTCAACCACACCCATTTCGGCACACCCCTCACACGTTTCGTGGCCCCATAGGGAGCTCCACCGAAAGCCCCAGTGCCACCGCTCGCATGCGTCCCGCACACCCATTTCGGCACCTCCACCAAACACAGCGTTTCGTGGCCCCACAGGGACCTCCACCGAAGGCCCCAGTGGTGCCGCCCGCATGCGTCACCCCCACCCCAGTACAGCGTTTCGTGGCCCCACAGGGACCTCCACCGAAGGCCCCAGTGGTGCCGCCCGCATGCGTCACCCCCACCCAGCACAGCGTTTCGTGGCCCCACAGGGAGCTCCACCGAAAGCGGCACCCGCAATGCGATATTCACAACTGCGCATGGTTGGGTCCTTCGCCAGGATAATTTGACTATTTTGGAGTATTCCTCCTGTAGAGGGACACGCCCGACTGAACACTCGGTGCTGAAAGCGGTGGCCGAACAAGCTTGGTGCCAGCATCGGTAAATCCATGCGTTTGCGCTCGGGCCGAGGGGCCTTGCAGCAGAACTTGCGCCTTCGGCTTCGCAGCCCGAGTGGCTTCTCGATGGCCCCGGGGGCAGTCGAGGGCACCCAGGGGCCATGCGAACAAGCTCCGCCTTCGTTTGTTCGAGACGTTGGACGTCTGGACTCTGGACTGTTTTCGGGCTGGCATCAGGGCCTCCCCTGACCTTCCAGAAAGCTATTTTTTAGCACTGGAGGCCTAACATCCTAAACAACGGACCGAAACGCCTTAAAACCAAGACGCATAATAGCTTTGGGATAGGTTTTCTGGTCGGATGCTATTTTTTAGCCCTCCTGGAAGGCCAGGGTCCGTCAGCAGATCGGGACGGTCCGGGCATCCCCGCGGAACGGCCTCGGTGAGGCGCAGTTGCTGGAGAGCATCCCGAAGCGAGAAAACCACCGATTGCCGGTGAAGACCAAACAACCTGCCAGACCTTCTCTGGCGCCGCTCCCGGCGCGCTCCGCGCGCCATCGAGGGGGTTTCAGCGCGCATCCAAGAAGTCCGCGTGGAGTTCCGACAGTTTCTGTTTATGCCCGTTCGTCTTTAGAATGATGTTGGATGTCTGGCTGCGCGTGTCGGGGTGACCCACAAGGGGGTCCAGCTGAAAGGGGGTGGTGCAATAGATTCGGGGCAAGTGTATTGCAAATGTTACTGCATTGCATTGCAAGTCATGTATTGCACGCGAAAGTCCAGCAATACAGCTGCGCCCCGACATGTACTGCACGCCCCAAGTGTATTGCAACCCCATAGCTACAGGCCTCGGAACAAAAATAGCGAACACTCATGCCACATTCATCTGTGAACGCCTCCCCCTCCCTCCAATGTTTAAAGTTGGCGGTGGGTCTGATGAGTTGCACCTCAACCGCAGTCTCCCCCGCGCGTGCCAACCTTGAGTTTGGGGGGCAGGGGGGGTGTTCACTAATTGTTTCCCTCTACCGTATTGCACCGAATCTATTGCACCACCCCCCTGTCGCTGGACCCCCTTTGGGGTCCACCCGAGCGTGGCGCAGGCGATGGAGCAGACGTACCGGTGCGCCGGGTACTGCCAGCCCCTGCTCGGGGCGCCCGCGCTCCTCTCCGCCGGCGCGCCGCCCGGCCCCCGCGCCGCGCCGCCGCCGCCGCCTCCGCCGTCGCCGCCGCCGAACGACGACGACGACGACCACCAGCACCACCACCACGTCGCTGTCGTCGTCGCTGTCCTCGTCGTCGACGTTGACGTCGTCGTCGTCGTCGCCGCCGCCGCCGTCGTCGTTGTCGTCGCCTGCGTCGTCGTCGCCGACGTCGCCGCCGTCGCCGCCGTCGCCGTCGTCGCCGTCTTTGTCAGCGTCTTTTTGCGTCCACGTCGTCGCAGTTCGAGGTGTGGGGCGGATCGAGCCGCCTGGGCCTTTTCTGACCCCCTTTTGGCCTCCAGAGGTCCCCGGGGACCGCCGGGGACCTCCGGACGGCGTCCGTCGTCACCGTCCCTCCCTCGTGCTCCTCGACCTCCTCGTCCTCGTCGTCGGTCAGGCGAGTGCGGGGCGCTCCGACGAGAGGAGAGCGGACTCGGAGGCCCAAGTCCAAGCCTCTGCAGAGCCCGGCAGATGCTTGGTTCACCCGCTCCGGGAGCCTTGTCCTACCTGCCTGAATCGGTTGAAGATTTCCCTCGTGAGCGCACCCCAGACGCCCAGCTGCCCCAATTCTTTGTCGACGCGTGGCGTGGGCCCCGGAGGTCCCGATCGCCTCGCCAGGGCTGGCGCTTCGCCCCGAGACGTTTTTGTCACGCTCCAGAGGCCGGTCGTGGGCGCCCAGAGGCCGGAAAACGGGCAAAATCCACTTGCTCAATTTTTTTTGAAGCGTCGGATCTCAGGGACTGTCCAGCACAGTTCGTAGACATCACCGTCACTCAGCATCGTTTATCCGACCCCCATCCGCATCCCCATCCCCTTCGAGACCCCCACCAAATTACCCTCCCAGTTGGGGATACACCCGTCGAAACCCGAAGGGGACGGCCTATATCCCCATCTAGGATGGGAAGTCGACCAGTGGGGCCCAGGCCACGTCGCTGGGGATGGGGATCGGTTGAACGATACTCAGTCGCCTTCTCGCATTGGACTAGGGACGGAGGTTGAGGTGCGAGGAGCACGGGGGACATCCGCTTGGTAAGGAGCAGGCCCAGCGGCGCCAGAGAGAACTGCCATGCCACGGCCGGGTCAGACACAGTCACCAACAAGTCACAAGCAATGGACCTCCACGACAGGGCACAGGTACAGCAACTGCTCGGAAGGCGCCGCGAGGATCGATGGTGATCTTCTTCGTATTCATTGTTTTGCCGATCGGCGCGGGCCCTCGCACCCCCTCCCCCCCCCCCATGGTGTACATCTTGCCTGTTTTTGGCGCATGCTTCGAGCAGGCAGAGTCTCCCCCACAGGACGCACGGTTCCAAACAGTCGCACTGAGCAGAGGTCTGGAGCCAGACCCCCCCTCTCCCCCTCCCTTCCGCCCCATGTCGAAACGCCGAATAATGCAACGCTGACCCGTGGACCTCTACGACAGGGCACAGGTACATCAACCGCTCGGAAGGCGCCGCGAGCATAGGTGCCAGAGTGGGCCTCGCTGCACGCAGGGCGCGGCAGTGCCAGCGCAGCGGAAGCATGACCGCTGGCGCGATGCCCCGAACGGGTCGGGAGACGCTGGACGCCTCGCAGCCGGAAGCCGTGGCACCGACGTCGCTCCAAGAACGGATGCCGAGGGCCCACGGGGTGGCCATATAGAGATCCTGAAGGCACCCCTCCGGGCGCGAAGGCGGTCGACCTCCGGGCGCGTGGCCGTCGGGGCCAGAGCGGCTGCCCTGTCCGTGGTGGGGGCGGTGCGGGGACGCGAATGGCGGTCCCGCGTCGCGCACCGTGGGGCGCGATGAGCGCAGCCGGGTGGCCCGGAAGAGTGGTCGGTTGGGGCACGCGGGAGCCTTGAGAGACGAGGGTCCATGCAAACGGGGGCCAGCCAGAGCACCGGATCTTGCAGGACCTTGCAGAGCCAGGGGTGCATTGACCTGGGCTTGGGTGCAGGATCCTACAGGGGATCCTGCAGGGCCCGACCGACCCGGGTTTGGATTGTCCGGGGTCAGTGGCTCCCCGAGGCATTGCGGATCAAATCCCATCCTGTAGCTCGCAGTTCCGTGACGTCGCAGGCAGGGAGCCATCGCATCGGGCGCCCAGGTCCGGGTTTCCTTCTCCCACAGAGACTTTCACCCTGGGCGCGCTCCAGAGGGCGCGCTCTGACCAGAATGTCGCGGCGGATCCCAGCCGTGGCGACCAGTGGGTGCCCGAACACAGCTGACTACCTCGATCCTCGATCCAGGCCGCCGTCTCTTGGCCCTCCCCCACGTCGCCTTCATTCTGCGGCCGATGGGAACCCTCATTCCAAGCGCACAAACGCTCAAGCGTGAAGCAAAAATCGGCTCGATAGGAACCCGCCTTCGCGGCTAAATGTGATATTTCACACGGTGTGGTGACGTTAACCGGCGGGCCACCCGAGCAAAACAAAAAAAGATGGGAACCCTCCCCTTACGGGTCCAATCGATGCAGGTATGATACATATAGGAAGGCCTTGCAGAGTTTATCACGAGACTGCCGACGTCCTTTTGGAACCTTTGACCCCCGCGAGCGTTTCAGAAGTCTGACCCGCAGGACGGCAGGGTTCACATGCGGTTGCCTACAGTATCAGGTTCGCGTCGTGTCGACGCGGCGATCCCAGCGCGGGCGTTCGACGTTGAGCGCGCCTGGTGGCCCAGCATCGGCCGACATCAAACGGCTCGCACTGTCGGAAAGTTGCTCGTCAAGGGTTGAGCGATCCATGCGTCGTCAAAGCCAACGCATACGTCATCTCACATTCAAGAGCCTGTCGTATCTGGGTGCCCTGACTGCGTTGCACGACCAGATCGTTGCCCTCCGTTTGGAGTGCGCTACCCGGTCTTCCGAGTTCAGTTGGGTTGGCTGCACGTCGTGCCGACGTGCCCTAGACCTTAGGGCGTATGGCACGCTCCCACCTTTCAGTTTCGGCGGCCCTTTGGGATGACGACCTCTCTTGAGTTATCTTATGCCGAAGGAGTCACATGTGGTTGCTTCACCTCGGTTGCAACTGTTGGTAGGTAAGTTCAGAATCCGTGGTCGAAATCATCATACTCCGACCTTATCCCGCTCAGTCCAGATTACTCCCGCTCAACCAGGATCATATAGCCTCGTTTCCACGAACACCTCCCTTGAGTTTCGAAGACGGAAGCCACCCCGACCCCCATGTCTGGCGATTCCTACGCACTCCTCCTGGGCGTTTACCGAACAGCCCTTCACTGTTCGATCTCGTCCTTGAGGCGCGTTTGGTAAAGACTAGAGGCCTTCTCTCGTAAGGATGCTGAATGAAGGGTATTGGAGAGGCCTGACGGCCGGTGCCGCCGACCCTGATCGAAAGGGCTAGGAGTGGGGGGAGGAAGCGGAGGATGAGGAGGAGGAGGAGGAGGAGGAGGAGGCCGCGCATGAAGAAACCAGATGCTTCTCGTTTTTGGGGACCTCGGGTTCCTTCGCTCCGCGCACTGCGCCGGTGACTTCCCGCGGCCATCAGAGAAGCTGCTGCGTTCAGGACGCTTTAGGTTTCCCCCCGGCCTCCAGCTGCACCTCGCGCGCGGGCTTTTAGGGCTGGGTTCCTCGCGGGGTCTCGTGCGGCCGCTTCCGCACTGCAATCGGGCCCGACAGCCCTCACCGAGCACGGGCCACCCCCTCTTGTGCAGCACGCCCTACAGCTCGCACAGGCCGCGCATTGCCAGCCATCACCCACGTCAGGGCACCTGATACAGTGGGGGCCCGTCCACGAGAAACCTTCCACAAGAAACCCAACCCTGAGACCCCAGGACGTCCATGGTTTTTTGGCGTGGGAAGGTCACGCTCTCCATGGCAAAACCATCGAAACCCAAGAAACCCAGGGCACCCTGGAGGCGAGCAGGGTGTTTCTTGGCATGGGTCTCCACTGTACGCGCGGGCCCGTTCGCAGCAGGAAGCTGCCCAGGAAACAGTCCCGCGAAGACGTCGCCCCGCACCTCGCGCCCGCTGCCGCAGGCCTCGCGGCCGAGGCGCCAGCGACGGCCAACGAGTCCGCCGCGGCGCCCGCGCAGGCGCCGGCCGCCCCCCCCCCGCCCCCCCCCGCCTCTCCGCTCCCCCCGCTAACCTGACGCCAGGCACCTAACCTGGCGCCGGCCCCGCTGCCGGTGGGCTCCGGTGGCACCCTGGCCGGGGGAATGGCGGTGCCGCAGGGCTCGGGGAGCGCTTGCAGCGCGAAGACTCTCAAAATGAAGATCCCGCTTGAGCGCCGGCCGCATTTGAGGAAGTCGAGTGGCAGAAATAGGAGGCAAACGCATAGCATCACAAGCGTTTTGCTTCACATGTCGCCGTTCGAGGTGGGAACAGAAAGAATGGGCACGAAGACCGGCAGCAGTCCCCGTCAATGTGGAACATCGAAGGGCAGCAAAAACAGCAGAGACATGAGCTTATGGCGCTCCGAGCGGATTTCGGGGGTCTGCACCGGAGCGCCCTGGCGCCGCGCCTCTTGCGCCGCCTCCTAGCTCAGATCCACGAAACCCGCGCGGAGCGCCCAAAGTTTATGATTGTGCTGCTTTTAAAACTTGTTCCTCTGGACTTCGCCGCAGGCGCTGCCCATCTGAGGCAGGAGACTGTCGTGCCGACGCGGCGGCGACCCCCCGCGCGGGCGTCTTCAGGGTGCAGCGCTGCCAGCGTGGCCCAGAACCGGCCATCCATGGACCGCGCGGGCGATCGGAAAGCCTCCGGTCGTTCGAGATCGAATTCGATCCACGCGGTTCTGGGCCTCCCAGGTGGGGTCCGAGTAGACGGGGTCGGAGGATCCCGCCGCGTCGCCGCTGCATCGGCGATGCGGCTTGATGTGGAGCCCGATCTTCTCCACGCCGACGTCGCCGATTCGGTTCAATCCTCCGACCCCATCGACTCGGACCCCGGACCCCATCTAGGTTTATGATGTTCCAACCTACTTTAGCTTCGATCACCAGAAATAATTTCGAGCGCCAGAAATAATACCGAAACTCAAGGGTTTTCACGTGTCGGGCCCTGGGAGACACTTGTCCGACACTGTTTCGACACTCGTTTGACACTCTTTTGACATTTTTCTGGGTGCTCGAAATTATTTCTGGGATGCGGTCCTTAAGTAGGATGGGGACAATATAAATCTAGGTTGCGTCTAGTGGTGTCAGGAACCAACGCACAGCTCATCACGACGCCAGTCTGCCTTTCCCCGCTGCGGGCAGCCAGGTCCCCGCCCCGCCTCGCGCCCTCTCTCCTCGGCTCAGGAGGGGAGAAAGCACACAGGCACAGCAATGAATCGTCGCCTCCCAGGAGAATATGAGAAAATATGGGAAGTGGGGGGGAAGAGAAAAATTCAGAAAACACGGGAAAACACTGGGAATCCTGGGATTTGGTGTGTATTCATTTGCTTGTCCCTGGGCGCCCGTGCCGGGGGTGGACAGAACCCCCCCCTTGACACGTCGATCCGTGAATGGTCCGTGTTCGCTTCTTGAGAGGGTGCCGTGGCCGTCACTTTCCAGGCCTCTGCCCGCCAGGTTTGGGCCCGGGGCCGTTCTCACTAAACCACGTTTTACTAAAGAAGGGGAACGAAAAATGACATAAACATAACAACTCGGAGGTCCGCGCGGATTTCTTGGATCCGCGCTGGACCCCCCTCCTTGGCGCGCGGAGCGCGCCAGGGGCGGCGCCAGAGGCGCCGCCAGGGGGCCCCAGCGCGATTCCGAGAAATCCGCGCCGACCTCCGAGTTTTTATGTTTATGTCATTTTTCGTTCCCCTATAGAGGGGGTTCTGTCCGTCCCCGACCGCATCCTCGGCCGCGGCCTCGCCGGCGGCCACGGCGCTGCCGGCAGGCAGACGGGCCCCCCCCCCCCGGCTGGAGGTCTTCGGGCACCTGCGCGGGCCTTCCGCGAGCCAGCCCGGGAGTGTCGGGGGCGGCCTCGGGGGGAGGGGGTTAGCCCGCTCGGGGCTCACGAGAAAAGGTGGGGGCAGTTCCTCAAAGGTTTCTTTGTTCGGGGCCGCACCTGTCTCCAAAATTTATTTATATATATATGTGTATGTATGTATATATACATACATACATACATACATACATACATACATACATACATACATACATACATACATACACACACATACATACATACATACATACATACATACATACATACATACATACATACATACATACATACATACATACATACATATATATGTGTAGGCCTTGGCCTTTCTTTTGTGGGGCACGTTCCCCGAAAAGTGCTTGCACTCAGGGTCTCTTGCTCATTTTCTATGGAACTGGGCCGTGTGGGCGGTCTGGCGGCCGTGTGGTCAACGTCGCCGCCCCGTTGAACGCCTCGTCGCTGCTTGTCGTCTGTTGAACGCCTTGTCGCCGCTCGCCGATTACCACAGTATTACCCACCGCTGAACCGTTTTTGAATCCAGAAGCGGCAGTTGTCGACCAATTTGGCGACCGCGCGCCGTCGGGAACAAACGCCTACGGTTTCGGTGGGGATCGCTCTAAGCAGAATAAGATGTTTTGTACGAGATTGTCTGATAATACGTCCGTGTCAAACCGCTTTGTTTTAATGCATTGTCTACAGGTTCTGAGAACATCGACAGCTGTTGCTCTGATGTGACCGTTCTTCGTTCAGATCACATTTCATGGTAGGCCTATGGGAATGCCGGGACGGTGGGCCCCTGCTCAACATTTATGGCCCGCTCCTGTCGAGGATTGAGATTCGCTTCGTGCCAGGCTCGGCGCTCTGTATGCGGGCGGCGGGCTCGCGGGCTTCCTCGGTCTTCGCCGCGCGGCGGCCCTTTCTCTCACCCTGCCCGCCTGCCTGCTCCCTGCTCCTCCTCTCCTCCGTGCGATCGGCATGGGTACGGAAGAAATGGGCACGACGACCGGCAGCAGTTCCTGTTCATCGTGAACAGGATTCGCCGTCGGTGCCGCCACGGAAGTGTCTCTTTGAGACAGGGGCCCGCCTGCCCAACAGCGGGCGCTGTCGGTTTTGGACAACGCTGGCTTCTCTTGCGAACCCATTTTTCCGTGCGCACCCGTTTCCGGCGTCCAAATCCACAGACCAGGGAGCAGAGGGCACGGAGCAGACACCAACGAGTAGAAGGGCGATACATCGAGGTCAGAGAGATGAGAGTGCAGTGTGGAAGAGAGTATTGGACCCGTCTTCCCCTGCTCACGTTCGCCACGGGAACGCTGCCTTCACGCGTGACTCGGGAGTGGCGTACAAGTTTGGTGCCTGGAGGGCGGACTTCTAAGTCGCCGGGAAGGCTCATTATCCTCTTAGGAGGCACGGGCCTTCTCAGAAATTCTCCTGGCTTCTAAGAGGGCTCCTCAGAAGCCTCGGGGCCCTTCCAAGAAGGCCCCCTGCCTTCTTGGAAGGTGGCTCCCGTCGCGCCACCCCCGTTGTGCGCGCCGCCATGCGTCGCACGCACAGCGGATCGGAACCGTCTCTGGTGTCATAGTTTTGGCTGCTCGTCCTCAACTTCTTTTCGCTATGAGAGACGGGCGTTGCCGAGGGAAGCGGGTCCTTCCCCGAGGCCAGCTCCTCCTCCTGCGCCGTTTTGCTGCTGGCCCTGGGGCCCGTGGAGGGCCCCGTGGCCCGAAGGGCGGCCGGAGGGCTTCCGGGGGAGGAGGAGGAGGAGGAGGAGGAGGAGGAGGAGGAGGAGGAGGAGGAAGATGAGGAGGAGGAGTTGGAGGAGGATGAGGAGGGGGAGGAGGAGGAGGAGGAGGAGGAAGAGGAGGCGAAGGAGGGAGGAGGGAGGAGGGGCCCGCCTCCTTCCTGCTGGGCCCCTTCGCCCTCGGAGCGGACCGACGCTCCCGAGCGCCAGCGGCGGCTGCCCTGCTGCTGCTGCTGCTGCCGCGGCTGCTGCTGCTGCTGCTGCTGCTCCTCCTCCTCCTCCTCCTCCGCCTCCTCCTCCTCCTCCTCCTCCTCCTCCTCCTCCTCCTCCTCCTCCTCATCATCATCATCATCATCATCATCACCCCCCTTTCCCCCTCCTCCTCCTCCTCGTCCTCCTCCTCCTCCTTCTCCTCCCCTTCCCCCCCCCCTCCGGAGAGAGGCCCCGGCGGCGGCGGAGGTCGAGCTGGAGCAGTTCCGCGGCAGGGACCGCGCCCGCCTCGAGGACCGTGGCGCTGGGTCTTCGGTTGGCCCTGCTTGTGCTCACGAGCGGCGAACCTCGCTGCTCCCTGGACTGACCAGAAGCTCGAGGCGAATCCAGCCGTGGCGACGAGGGCCTCCCAGCAGGCCCCAGAAGGCGGAAACGAGGAGGAGTCACGAGCGGCGAACATGTCCGTACCCGCGCCCTCGCGGTCTGGAGTCCGGGGCGCGATCCCGCGGATAATTATGCGATAATTATGCGATCGCGCGGATGCGTTCCGCGCGGGGCATCCGCGAAGAAGTGCCTCGTATCTGCTGGGTCGCGGCCCAGGGGCCCGGCCAGGGGGGGCCGCGGATACGGACATGTGTTTCGCCCACGATGTCCCATGAGTGTTGGGCGCGTCCAACGTCTTTGTTGATTTATGGATCGAGCGTTCCTTGCGTTTGGAAGTTTCTCTTGCCTCGGGATGCTCCCCAGCAGCTGCGCCTTGTCGAACCGCCGCCGACGACCCGAGCTACGACCCGAACACCAGTAGGCGTCGAGGAGGGGGGGCCCATTCTTCGGCGCACCCGAACCCAGCCTGGTCTCAGATTGGCGGTCCTTTCCTGTGTCCGACGCGGTCTCCGACGTGGACCTGCGTGGGGATGTACGCGATTGCGGCGCGGGTTCTGCGCGAATGGCGTCCCGACGGGGTAAACAACGTCCCCCAAGACCTCGTAGCAGGTGGGGATGACGGGAGAAAGGTGAGGCTGAGCACGGGGTGGGGGCGGAGGTGAAGTTGGAGGAGGATTTGCAGGGGGATGAGAAGGAGGAGGAGGAGGAGGATGAGGAGGAGGAGGAGGAGGAGGCGGAGGAGGCGGAGGCGGACGGAGAAGGAGGAGGAGGAGGAAGAGGAGGAAGAGGAGGAAGAGGAGGAGTAATAGGAGCGGGAGGGGAGCCGCGGCCCGCCCGTGGTCCGCCGGCACCGCGCCAGCCCGCAGACCCTCAAATGTGAGATCCGCTTTCATCCCATGCCTTACAGATATGATGTTCCAACCTAGTTTAGCCTTTATCACCAGAAAGAATTTCGAGCGCCAGAAAAGTACCTCAAACTTCGAGGGTTTTCACGTGTCGGGCCCTTGGAGACACTGTTTCGACACTCTTTCGACACTTATCCGGGTGCTCGAAATTATTTCTAGGATGTGGCCCTGAAGTGCGATGTGAGCAACATAACCTCACACATGTGTCTCGTAATCCTTCACTGTTACATGTGTACCAGTTGGTTCTCGTCGCGTTACGCTGCACTGCGTCAGCGCAGCACCACTTGCGGGGCCATTCTGGCCAAGCTCCACCGCGGCATCGACATGGACGTCGTACGCCCACCACAACCAGCCCACGACGACCACGTCGACTTCAACCCCGCCTGGCACCGCAGGAACGGGAAAGGAGAGCTGCAGCGCGCACGTTCCTAGAAGTCGCATCTGCACGCCGCCGCCGCTTTCGTCGTCGAACCGCTAAGCGCCCGAATCGCGCTTCGCGCGCCGCGGCCTGGGTCAGGGAGCTGCCTTTTCTCAGGGGCGGAGGCGTGATGGCCCGAAGATCACCGTTTGTGGCGCATCGGGTAGCGCGATGCGCAAAGTTGGGTGACCTCGCCGTCGCCGTCGCGCCGTCTCAGCCGCCGCCGTCGTGGAGCCCCGAGCTTCGATCTTTGAGCCTCGGACCAGCCGCCCCAAGCGGGCGATGCCGCCGCCGTCGTTGTCGTCCGATGTCGTCGGACAGTTGTCGTTGCTGCCGCCGTTGTCGAACTTCGACTCTCGGCCGGGTGTTGCTTAAGGTGCCCCTGTCTTCAGGTGCCCCCAGGGTTCACAATTCCCGATGGGTCTCCGCGATGGCGCGAAGAGCTGGGGACACCGTGCGCCAGCGATAAATCGGATCTTCGAGCATCGGACGAGCCGCCTCCCCGCGGGCGACTGCGACGCTACTGCCATCGTTAGTCGTCGTTGACGCCGGCGCCGTCATCGACCCTCGAGCCTGGATTGTCTAGGGCCCACTTGGATCCGATCGGTCCGATACGATGTCGACCCTGGCCAGCCCGAGCCCATTGGATTCCGATGTTCCGGCGATCCGCTGTGGCCCGGTACCTGCATGGCGTTGCTGCGCATCCTGGCGCAGCCGATCCGATCTGGTTTCGACCCCGTGCCGACGCGGCCCGATGAGATGCGCCTCCTCCTCCGCCTCCTCCTCCCTCCTCGTCCGTAGCCATTTTGGCTCAAGGGCTATAGACGCCCGAGAACCAGCGATTAGCTTTGAAGCCCCTCCGGAGGCTTCTGTCAAGTTTTTGTGCTTTCGCCAGCTCAGAGGCTGGCCCGTGCTCCTCCCGTGCCAATGTCTCAGATCACCCCAGGATCGCCCGCTGATGGCAGCTCAGCAGATGCCGCGCAGCTCGATCAGGAAGGCACTCCCACGCCGAACGGTGATGACGAGGACATGAATGGTTTCCTCAGTGCCCCTGTGTCCGTGGTTTCATCTCCGAGGGGACGCTCCTCCCGCCAGCCCGAAGCTGCCGCCCGCGCCACGCCAGGCGACGACTCCACCTTGATGGCGCTCCTCCGCAACATGTACAGCAAGCTCTCGACCGCTTGCACCCGCGAGGACATGCAGCAGCTGCAACACCGCCTCGACTCGCATGACGAGCACTTCACCGCGCTTGAGACCCGCATCGCGTCGATCGAGACTGGCACCGCCGAGAAGATCACCGCCGCAGTGGAAGCAACCATCCTCACGAAACTCTAGGCCCGCCTTCAAGCCTGTGAACAAGCAGCATCGACAGCAGCATCGCGTTCTCGCTCCAGCCCCTCTTCCGTCAACTCGTTCTCTACCGCGGGTAGTCACAAGCGACGTGCAGTTGGCAGCGATCACCCATTCCCGATGACCGCTAACCAGGAAGCTGACAAGTGCCGTGTTTGGTTCGGTGGATTTCCCCGCCGCGTTCTTGGCTCCGTCATGCAAGTTCATGCCAAGCTCGTTTTGTCTCGGCTACCACCCGCCTACTCTGTGGGCGCCGAAGTCACCGCCAAGAGCATGCAGATGAGCTACTCCATTCGCTTCGCGTCCTCCGAGAACGCCAGTGACGTCGTCCAGCAGATGAAGAACAATTGCGTGGACTGGATCGATCCGCGCACGAAGATCGCCGTTCCCATGAGATGCCGGCTCGACGCCAGTGCCGAAATTCGTGCTCGTCAGAAATCCCTCGGTCGCCTCTGGCAGGCTCTCATCGGCCACATGAAGGACAACAACCTGTGGAAGGAAGGCTACCGACTCGGGTGCAACGGCCCACGTGGCATCCTTTTCATCCTCTTCGCCCAGGACGACGTTGAGGTGCTCGCCTCGCTCGTCGACGTCGGGGAAGACTCACGCAGCTTCGAGTTGAAGTACGAAGGCCTCCAGACCTTCGGGATCGATCGGGTCTCTGCTGACAAGGTCGCCGCCTCTGCGCTCGGTTAGGAAGCTCTCCCGCACGCGAGCATTCGCGTCAGCACGTTGGGCATGGCACGGCCATGCAGGGTTTGCAGGGGCAGACGCGTGGGGCGCGTCTCCTATCCTGCACAAGATTTTGCAGATAGCAGCAGTTCTTCTTCTTCCACCTCTTCGTCTTCTACTCCATCCGACTCCGATCCAGATGACAACCCTCATCCCTCCGAGTTCCTAGACCCCAAGGCGTATTTCCCCGTCGAGATTTTTGACAAGCTCTCCGTTGTTTCTTGGAATGTTCACCGTCTTTTCAATTCTGTTTGGTCCGACCATTCCCTGGCCAGGAAGAAAGTCGCCTCCGTAAAACGACTTGTTTCCCGTCATCAAGTGGTCTGTCTTCAAGAAACCCGAGGTTCCCAAAAAGAACTCGCTCTCCTCCTCCACGAGCTTCACGGCGTTCGCGGTTTCGGCACTTTCTTTGAGAATAGAGATGCAGGTGGCTGCGTCATTCTCCTGAGCGAGCAGCTCTGCCGCCAGTTTCAGTCTATTCGCCGCGCCGTGGTCGGACAAGGGCGCGCCTCGCTTATTTCCCTCTTCGGCTCCCAAGGCATCCTCCAGATCATGAGTGTCCACAACGCTCCCACTACCCCTGTTCCCGCCCAGAAGGTCTTCTTTCTCAAGTTGCGCGTGCTCTACTCCCACCGTGTCAAGCACTCAGTATCATTGCAGGCGATTGGAACTTCTGCTGGGAGGGCGAAGGCTCGCAGCACCTCTCTGGCCGGCTCGCCCCGACAAAGCTTTATATTGTCAGGCATTCGGCTCAGCTTTTCTCTGCTTGCGCCGAAGTGATGCAATATATGCCTACTCATCGCGTTGTTCCAGGTGACGTTCTCGTGTCTGTCGCTCGACTCGATCGCATTCTATGTAGCATGTACACCGCAGAAATTCTCGGTCTGAAGACCAGCACCATGACCATTTGAAACGTCACGGATCGCACGTCGTTGTCGGGCCACATCCCCATCTGTCTCGCCTTCGCCCCGAAGCCCCGTGGACCCCCCGACGTCTACGCCCCGCCGAGATGGGTCTCCAAACATCCCGACTTTCCCGCCGAATGTGAAGCCGCTTTTTTGGAGGCTGGTTCTCTGAGTTAGGATCCCTGGGTGCGTCTTGAGGAAACGAAAGATATCCTGCGGCTCGCCGCTCGAACATTGATGGGCCGTTCGGAGACTACTGGCGCCACTACCTACCCCGAGAAGATCTCCTGGAGCCTCGCCCTGATGCGTGCTATTCGGGCCCGCTCGTCCTCTCTCGCTCGCCGAGCTTGTCGTGCTTACCCGAGTCTCGCAACGTTCGTTGATCTCGAGTTCCTGGTCTTGTCCGATATCGATGGGCTCCACCAGCATGTCTGTACTTTACAGCGCGCGCATCTTCAACATGAAATCGAAGATGCTGAGCAAGACGCCTCCGCCCCGCTTGCTAAACGAATGGCTTGTTAACGTCAGCTTTACTAATATTGTTCTGCCTGGGCCTCTGGAGGCCGCCGCATTCGGCTCGCTGGAATCACTGACCCGCAGGGCATCGAACACTCCGACCCTGATGAAGTGGCCAAGCGATTAGCGCAGTACTGGGGGAAGTTCACCAAGGGCATCCTTGTCTGCCCGACCAGCTCGAGCACGACCGCCCCTTCGTGCAGACTGCCCCGCCTGTGCCTGAATGGGAGATAACGTTCGATGAGTTTCGAATCATCTTCAACCACATCCGCGACTCCTCCCCAGGCCCAGACGGTCTCGTCTACTCCGCCTGGCTCCGCGCAGGGGATGCTGCTCTTCTCACATTGTTTCGTGTTTACTGCGCGCTCTTCCGCTCCATGTGCGTCGGAGATGGATTCCACCACGCCCTCGCTGTCTTCCTTGTCAAGGGCGAGGTCCCGCCCGATGTGTTCGAGGCGCGCAGATCCGCGGACAAGACGAGGCCTATCACACTGAGCAACACGCGCAACAAACTATGCTGTCCCGCTCTGAATCATGTACTGGGGTATGTCTGTCGAGTGGTATGCTGCCACAACCAAACTGGTTTTGTTCGGGGGCGTTCTATGTTTGACAATATTATTGCGCTGGAAGCCAGCTTGTGTCATTACCTTTGTCAACAATATCTTCCCGACTCCGGGTGTGTTCTGTATGATGTAAAAGCCGCCTTTCCTGGCCTTCTTCGTGAATCTATTCACTGGATTCTGGAGCTCATGGAGATTCCCCCGAGGTTCCGATGGGCCATCAAACTTCTGTATTCTCAATGTTGGGTCAGCATTTTCTAGTGTGGCATCGCGTCGTTCGGATTCTGGGTTACGCGAGGTATCACACAAGGTTGTCCTTTGTCTGGCTCCATCTTCGCCCTCTGCCTCGACCCCATCCTCCGCCTCATGATCTGTCGTCTTCCCCCTGATCACTCTCGTCTGGGTGCACTTGCAGATGACATTGGCATTGCGTGCGAAGACGTTTACAACGCGCTGTCGGTCACTCTCCCGCTCTGGTGCACCGCGTCTGGAGCTGCTGGCCTCTTGCTCAAGCTCGAAGGCATACAACTTGCGGTGCCGCGCCTTCCCGAGCACGCAGAGTTTCCTCGTCGTCTGCGCGCTCTCGGGATTCGAGGAAAAAAGTTTCAGTTGATGCGCGCTGGCAAATACCTCGGCGTCTGGCTCGGCCTCGATGGCTGGCGCCAGTCCTGGCGCGCGCCAGGGGGCAAGTTCATTGATCGTGTTGCTGCCGCCAAAGCTCTGCACCTCGGCCTCGCGAAAAACCTCGCCCGCTATAACGTGTTCGACTTTTCGACCCTCTCGTTTGTCGCCCAATTCCATGTTCCCGATCCCCACATTCTGCATCTCGAGAATCGTGGACTTCAACTTCTGCCTGAGGGCCCTCGGAATGCATATAGTTGCACCCTCATCCAGAGCCTCAAGGGCCTCGGATTTCCTGTCCAGGCCCGTAACTTGTGCACTTCCTCGCGTGCCTCCATGTATCGTCTTGCTTTGAATTCTAAAGTGTTTCATGACATGACACATATGTTTGGCTATATTTGAACTCTAGCTTCCGTAGTCTGTGGATGAATGTCAAGGCGATGTCGGCCATTCCTGCCACCCCAGCGTTTGGCACGCCCGCTTTGCAAAAGAAGACTGAAGCTCTTCTGCTTGACCGTGCCGCCGACAGTCCTGCTCCCACTATCTGTGCCCGTGCTGCCCACTGGCGTCGCATCTCGCCCGCGGAAAAAGTTCACTTCCTGCTCGCCCTTCGCAAAATTGCGAAGAATACCCCGCCGTGCGTCTTCGCATCAGTTCTGCGCACAATTTGTAATGCATGGACGACCTCCCGACGCTTCAAAGGCCAAACTAAATCACGCATGCTTTGTTCTGAATCCGCATGCCAGGACTCTCTATCTCACATGTTAGAGTGTCGTACCCTGCGCGCTGCTGTTGCTCCCCTCCTCCCTCGTCTCCCTCCTGCCTCCGGGTCCTGCGGGGGCCCTGCCCTTGCTGCTGCCTTCCTGCTCCTTCCTCTCCCCGATGATCAGCTGCTGTCTTTTGCCGTTTTCATCGATGCCACCTGCATCAGCTTCCACTCGCACAAAGCCTCGTCGCGGCTCCTTGGGGAGTCACGACTCCGCAAGGCCCTCCGCGCCCGCTTGTGCCAGGTGCTTCGAAGGCAACCGTCCCTTCAGGAGCTCGTGCACTAGAGGCCGTACGGGGACTTCCTGCTGCACGTGTTCAGGGACTCGTGACTCTTCTCTTCCCCGTTGCCTCTTGTCCGCCTCTTCTCTTTTCGTTTCCCTTGCTCGCTTCGTGTCCGCTTGCCCCCTCTGTGGCCCGTGCCCTCCTCCTCCCTCCTCGTCGTCGTCGTCGTCGTCCTCCTCCTCCTCCTCCTATTCGATGCGTTTTGGCCGATGCAGAAACCCACTTGGCGATGCCGTCGGGCCCCGGCCGCCGCCCGCCCGCGCCCAGGACGCGGGGCCCTCCCGCCTGCAGGGCCGCCTGGCCGCGGCCCTCCTGCGGCACTTCGCGGGGCGGCGGCCGGCTGACGCCAGGCGCGCGCGCGCGCCGTCGCCGCCGCCGTCGTCGGCGCCGTCGTCGGCGTCGCCGTCGGCGTCGGCGTCTGCGCCGTCGGCGTCGTCGTCGGCGTCGGCGTCGGCGTCGACATCGTCGACGTCGTCGTCGACGTCGTCGACGTCGTCGTCGTCGCTGGCGGTGGTGGCAGTGACTCGGGCCGGGCGAAGGGGGGGGATTGGGAAAGGGGGGGGTACGAAATCTGCTGCATGCAGCTGGTTTCTGCCCCGCCGCCGGGCCCATTCCTCGATACATGGCCGCCTCCGGCGCCGGGAGGCGCCGGGAAAATCAGCTACGAGAGCTGATTCTCAAACCCCCCCTTTGCTATCCCCCCCTTTCGCCCGACCCGAGTGACGGCGGCGGAGGCTCCGCCATCGTCGATGCCGGTCGGCATTGTCATCGTCGTTGCCATCGTCAGCGTTGTCGTCGTCGTTGTCGACAGCGCCGTCGTCAGAAGCGCCGTTTTCGTCGTCCTCGTCCTCGTCCTCGTCGTCGTCGTCGTCGTCGTTTTCTGAAGTCTGAAAATACAGGCTTTCGGATGTATGTTCTGCCTTGTGGGGCCTTTGGCGGCAGGAAGTGGAATGGATCCTGACAGCATCGTTGTGCAGGACGTCTCGAGCCTAATCAACCCGTCAGTTCTGCTGCAACTCCTGGAGGGTTAACTTCACCATCTGCGCTGGTTCATCGCGGTCGAAAACTGTCCCACTCGGGCATAATCCCGCTCAGTCGGGTTTAGTTCCGCTTACGTCGGCTTAATATTGGGCTGAGTCTGTCCTCGTCCAGCTTGGTGGCCTTTTCATCGTGTTGAACGGCCTTCGATTTTTTTGTCCACGATCTCCCAGAAGCAGGCTCCTGGGGCCCAACTTCGGGGCGAACGCTACCGTGGCGACTTCTTTCTTCGGCGTCGGTTGGTCAGGGCAGCATACCCAGGATGAGGGAGGACGATGGGGAGGGCGGGGACGGGGGGGAAGTGGGGAAAGGGCGAGGAAGGACTGATGGGCCTGTTTTCCACCACCACCACCATCAGTTGGAGGGGGAAAGGGGGTGGAGGACGAGGAGGAGGAGGACGAAGAGAAAGAGGAGGAGGAGGAGGAGGAGGAGGAGGAGAGGAGGAGGAGGAGAAAAAAAGAGGAGGAGGAGGGAGGAGGAGGACACCCTCCCCCTCCAACTTACTGTGGTGGTGGTGGAACACAGGCCCATCAGGGAAGGGGAGGAGGCACCTGCCGGGCGAGGGAGGGGCGGGGCGCCTCGTTCTCTCCGCCGGCCCCTCCTCCGAGTCCTCGCTCCGCCCCTCCTTACCCGCCTTCCTCCTCCTCCTCCTCCTCCTCCTCCTCCTCCTCCTCCTCCTTTCGGCAGGCCACTGGGCGCGTACACCCGAAGGCGTCAGCCTCCTCCTCGTCCTCCTCCTCCTCCCTCCTCCTCCTCCTCCTCCTCCTCCTCCTCCTCCTCCTCCTCCTCCTCCTCCTCCTCCTCCTCCCTGGTTCCCCACAATAGCTTCATCGCTTCCTGTCATGCCGTTGGGGAGGGGGGTTTTCCAGGAGGGGTCCCCAGGGGCTTCGCACCCCCTGTTTTGACGAGGTTCCGAGGCCCCTGGGGGGCTCTCTTGAAAACCCCCTCCCAAAAAAATTCTTTGTAACCCTCTGGATGCTCCGGGCTCCATCCTCGTATCCCGGCATCCTCCATCCTCCATTGGTTCCCTCCCGCCTTTCATCCAGGACGGAGTCGACAGGCAGGTGCACCGTCGCCTGCTGCAAATCGTACTGCGCGTGCTGCGCCCGTTGTTGCACGGTCTTGCTGCGAGAGGCGAGAGGCGAGGCTGCAAGAGCCGCTTCTCCGACATGCTCTCCTCCACTCCTCCATCCATCAACCCTCTCCTTCTGGTCGGGACGTTCGGGGGGCCTTGGGCTGGTCAGGTCCAGTCCAGGCCCCCCGCTGACGATGTTGATGATAACTTTGCCTCATGGCCACATTCTTTATGTAACAAAAAAAGGTCCTCCGCTTGCTGCCACTGCGGGGCCGCCCTTGCAGGAAGAACTTCCACGACATCGACGTCGACGTCGAAGTGCACGTCGATGTCGTCGAAGTCGACGCTCATGACGTCGTTGTCGTCGACGTCGAAGGTGCCGACGGCGACCGATGCGCGCTGGCCCAGCGCCCACCCGGCGCGCCAGGCACCCGCACGCGGCCCAGGGGGCGCTGGCGGCGGAGCAGGACAGGTGGGCTGGCCTGGCGCCGCCGCTGTCAGCATCGTCATGCGCATCCCCAGTCATGCGCATCCCCATCCTCCGGGGTGGCAGTGCTTCCGTGCGGTCGTTGTCCCTCCGCCGTGGTCTTTCTGGCCCTCCTCTTCGCCCGTCTCCAAGGGCCCGCACTCGGTCCCCTGCGTCGCCTCCGCGGCTGCTTCGGGAGTTGGCGCTTAACTCTAGCCCACGTGCAAGTAAAAGGCTTTAAGCGCCGCCGGCTCATATCCCTTACGTCGGGGAAACGTAAGACTCGAGTAAGCCAGAACTCGGGTTTGCCGATGCTTTTTGACGAGGCGCGTCCAGTCAGCGGGAGCTCCCGTCAGGCAGTCAGATTGGGTCTCGTGATCTTCGTTGTGGCCCCTTCCAGCCAGCCCGAGTCCCCCAAACCCGAGTCTCACGTCTCCCCGATCAAGGCGGGGACGGATGCCGCGGCGCCAGACGGAGGTGGCAGTTGGTTCTGGCGGCGGAGCGAGGGAGGAAATGTGAAGGAGAAGGCGCCTTCTCGGATGGTTTGGAAGTCCCCCGGCCTTCTGAGAAGTTTTCGAAGTTTTCCCCGAACACAGAAAAAGCTTCTCAGGGGATGCGAGGGCTTCTGAGAAGTCCCGCCGCCTTCTCAGAAGGCTCAGGAGGGAAAAGGCACAGAGACACAATTAATCGTCGATCCCCCAGAAAATAACGGAAAATATGGGATGTGGGGGGGAAGACAAAAACCCAGAAAATATGGAAAACATGGTGAATCCGTTTATTTGTGTCTATTTATTTGTGTGTCCCAGGGCCCCTTTCAAAGGCCCTCTCTTTCTCGCTTCCTCCCCTCGCTCGCCGCCGAGTCCTGGCGGCGGAGCAGGATGGGCGGACCGTCGGGGGGGGGAGGGGAGGCCGTCGGTGCGGACCACCGTCGTGCGCGTGCCCATCCCCGGGGGGGGTGCCAGGGCTTCGGAGCGCCGCCGGCCTGCTCCCTCTGCAAGACGGGGGCAGCTACCGCCACGGCGCCCAAGGCGGCCTCCCGAGGCGCCCCCAGGAGAGGCCCAGGAGGCCTCCCGCCAGGGCCCCACGAGGAGGAGTCTTCAAGCCCTCCCAGCAAGACTTGCATCCTGATGCTTCTCGGCCTCACGGCGTTCGAGACGGCCCAAGGGCCCCAAGACGACCCAACAGGCCCCGGCGGAAACGGCACGTCTTCCGTCCCCACCTCGGGGACAGGCCGGACAGCTGGCCAAGAGCCTCCAGGCTGGGACGAGGATGTGGCAGACGGTGTTGGCGTCGCTGGGCGCTGCGCACCCTGGGGGACGGTGCAAGGGTGGGGGTGGGGTCGGCTGCGCGTACAGTGGAGACCCGTGCAAGAAACACCCTGCTCGCCTCCAGGGTGTCCTGGGTTCAGTATCGTTTATCCGATCCCCATCCCCATTCCCATCCCCATCCCCTTCGAGACCCCCACCAAATTACCCCCCAGTTGGGGATACACTCCTCGAAACACGAATGGAACGGCCTATATCCCCATCTAGGGGGGTAAATCGGCCAGTGTGGCCCAGGCCACGCCGCTGGGGATGGGGATCGGATAAACGATACTCATGGGTCTCTTGGGTTTCAATGGTTTTGCGATGGAAAGCGTGACGTTCCCACGCCGAAAATCAATATCGCAGGCCTAGAGGTTGACACCAGCACCGATATCGGCGGTGTGCCTCCTCCGAGGGAAGAAGATGCCGATCTCGGTGATGGTGGTAATATTCTGGCTGCCAAGGTGACCGAAATATTTCCATCAACACCGAAATCTAGGATCATCTTCCCCCTGTGGAAGCAGACCGCGCCGCATCAACGCCAAATGGGGTCGAAGGATCGCGCCGCATCGCCGATGCATCGCCGATACGGCTCGACGTGGAGCCCGAGTTGCTTCACGTCGACGTCGCCGATACATCGCCGACGTCGGCTATGCATCACCGGTGCATCGCCGATGCATCGCCGATGCATCGCCAAGGTATCGGCGAGGTGGCGCGATCCTCCGACCCCATCTACTCCGACCCCATTCAGGAGGCCTCTAGTCTCTAGAGCAGCCGAGGAGCCGAAGAGTGCGGCCCTCTGACCAGGGCAGGGGCCTCTGCGGGATGCGCCATCTGTGCCTTGACGAAGCACTCCGCTCGGAGGTTTGTTTCGCTGGCCTCAGCCTCGGCCACCGTCATGCTCAGGACGGACTGCTGGCCCCCGCCCGGGGAACGGTCCGGAGACAGGTCGGGGTGGCCAAGAGAGGTGTGATGACCTGGCGGGGGAGATATCATATCGCCTCTTCTTGTTTCAAAACGTTCTCTTGCCCCCCCTGTGCCGCGCACATGCCTCATGCCATGATTTGCCCCCCCCCCCCCTCCTTTTGGACGCCCCCGAATAAAGCATTGGATGTCGGGGGTCGGTGGTCTGATAAGGCTTTTGAGGAGGCGGGAGAGGTTTTAGGAAGCCCTCTGTTTCCTCAGAAGTCGACGGGGTGGAAACCATCCCGAGCCCCACAAGTTGCGCGTTGGCTGCGTAGCCTGGGGGGTTTACGAGGCATCCCCGTTCTGCTCGATTTCTTCATTGATGTGTTTGCAGAAGGGCCTCGTTTGTCGGGGAGGTCGTTGTGCGGGTGGTTCTTCCTCGCGCTAAGATGGGGAGGACGAGGAGGGAGATGTTCGAAGAAGTCCTACGCCCGTCAGGGAAAGCCACTCCCGTCGCCCCACCTCCATGTGCGCGCCGCCAAGTTCGACGTCGTTGCTGCCGCCTGATGTGTGGGCTCCTCCCATACACTGGACGTCGTGCACGTTTCATGACGTGGCCGCCTGGAGGTCTCGACCCCTTCCCCAGGGCCGGCTTTTCATTACGTGCCGTCCGGGGACGGTCCCCAGTAAGGGCCCCCAGAGGCCAGATGAGGCCTTGCTGTTCTGTCGTGATTTCCGTCACGATTCGAGGGGTATGGGTCTTCTTGTCATCCCCACGGAGTCATCCCTCTCCGCCTCCTCCGTTTCTCCTTTTCCTATTCCTCCTCCACCTCCTCCTCCTCCTCCTCCTCTTTCTCCTCTCCCTCCTCCTGTCTTCTCCTCCCTGCGCCTCTCCCTCCACCTCCTCCTCGATGTCCTCCTCCCCTCCTGGAGAACATGCCGTTTTGCATTAGACCTGCATTGGTTGGATTGCCGTTGCGTCGAAACGCATGTGCTGAAAAAAGAATAGCGCATGCGTGATCACAACATGATCACGCAAGCAGTGCGTGCACGACAGGAACAAGGAAGGTCACAGAAAGATGGAACTTCGAACAGAAGAGAAGCCCGCAAGGGCATAGAGTAGCGCACAACGGCAAGGGCTCCATGCATCCCAACCACCTCACCTCAAGCCTCTCACACATCGAATCATCATGTGATGCGCCATGCTCGGCGCTCGGTTGGGGCTCGTGTAACTAGCTATATGCCCATGATTGCTGAACATGGCCGATGTAAAGATGTCCTTGGCTATGCTTTGAGCCAGGAGGCGGTAACCGACGTGCAGCGAAGGACTTCTTTATGAGTCTGGCCAGCTCTTTCTCCATCGCATGCAATCCATGCATCTTCCTGTGACATGGCGCGCTCTTCCGCCGACTGCCGATGCTGCTAGGCGGCGGGCTGCCCGCCCAAGGGGCTGCTCTGGCAAGAAGAGTGCTCTGCGCAGCGTCAGCGGCGAGCCTGCGGCGGAACGGGGGCTCCGTGCGGACTCGACTCACATCCCCCGCCCCCCCGACCTCCTCCTCGGTGGCCGCGGGGGCTCCGGCGCGAGTCGCCGGGCGAGGGCACTTCGCCGCCGCTGCCCGCGGACCGGCGGTGGCGTCCTCAATAAGCTTAAGTCGGGCCTGTCCCTCTACAGGGGGAATATGCAAGAATAGTCAAAAAATAGTACGGGGACCATTTTTTTTTACCATTTGGGAGCATTTTTGGTGTTTTTTTTATTTTTCGTCGACAATCCCCCTGTAGGGGACACGCCCGACTTCACAGTAAGCAAGCGGGCGGCCCGTGCCGATATCCCGAGGCGTCCGATGTCTTCAGTCGGGGGAGGGCGAGTTGAGGCAACGGGGCCTAGACTGCCCCTGAGGTCTTGGCTTAAGTCGGGCGTGTCTCCCTACAGGAGGAATATTCAAAAATAGTCAACAAATAGTCAGGGGACCATATTTTAAATATTTTCTGACCATTTGGGATTTTTTTCAGTATTTTTAATGTTTCGTCGAAAATCCCCCTGTAGGGGGACAGGCCCGACCTAAGTCTTGACGTCCCGATTCCTTCGAGCCGGGCGTGTTCGCCCGGTTTCGGGCCCCGGGACCCCCACAGGTCAATTCCGCTCGGGAAATGGCCCACAAAGATGGGTCCGGGATGTTTTTTTTTCTTGCCCCGTCGGGTCTCATGTTCGGGGGGGGGGGCCTCGTCGCCACGGCTGCCCGCAGCTTGGGAAACCGGTGCAGTGGGACCCTGGGAGATGGGTCCAGGGGCCGATGATGAGTTGCCGTTGTCTCAACTGGACCTGCTCCGACCCAGTGGCGCAGTGGGGCCGCGCATCAGGGAAGCTGGTTCTGTTCGTCGGGATATCTCGGGCTTCTCGACTCCAGGCGCTGCGCGGTGACTTCCCGCGGCCGTCGAAGGTGCTGCTGCGTTCTGGGAGCTCTAGGTTTCCCCCCCTGTTTTCAGAGTTGGGCTTCTTGCGACGGTCTTCTGCGGCCGCGTCCGCCCTGTATGGGATCCCTGGAAGTCCCGACCCCTTCCCCAGCTCTCGCTCCCCATACATTTTTCCAGCAAGGATATCCTCAGGATGTCTCAGGTTTGTGTGTATTCGCTCCGTTCGCTAGCGAAACCGCCCGACCAGCTTGCCACTCTTTGCGGCAGGTCCAGCCACTTGGGTCTGTGAGTGGCCTCCCCTTCTCGCAGGGCGGCTGGATTCAGCCTCCTCGCGATCACGCCTCTCGAGCTCGGGGCCACTCAAGAAGGGGGGACCTCGAGCTCGGGGCCTCCCCACACAGCCGCACCCGCGGCCCCGCGCGGCCTCGGGCCTCGGGGCCGCGGGGCCGCGTAGGCGGGGAGGGGGCGCCTCCGGGCGGCTGCCCCGCGACTCCGCGCAGACTTCCTCCGTGCGGTCGCGCATCCGCGGCCTCGCGCCGCGGAGCCCAGACCGCCAGGGCGCGGAGGCCTCTATCCGCCACACAACACATTTACTTGTATCGCTGCGCGACGACAGTAGTACATTGTGGACCAGCCAAAAACATTACATGACAGCAACACCGTAACACATGATGCAGCCAGCCCTGACTACCCTCGAAGGACGCGGTGGGTTCGGTCCCGATTGCTTGGTGGTTACTCAACTCATGCCACATTCATCTGCGAACGCCTCCCCCATCCCCCCAATGTTCAAAGTTGGCGGTGGGTCTGATGAGTTGCACCTCGACCGCAGTCTCCCCCACGCGTGCCAACTTTGAGTTTGGGGGGCAGGGGGGGGGTTCACTAATTGTTTGCCTCTACCGTACGTCCGCCGCTCGTGAGGATGGCCGGGGGCGGCGAGCGAGCGAGCGGGCAAGCGCGCGAGCGGGCGGGCGGCGAGCGAGCGGTCGAGCGAGGACGCGGACGGCCAGCAGCAGGAGGCGGGCCAGCCCGCGGCTGGCGCAGCCCTGGCTCTGCTGCAGAAGGCGTCCCTCCGCCGCTCGGCCGCTGCTCTCCCGTCTTCCCGTTCTTCAAGCAGTGGTGAAGCGTCCTGGCTCGCCTATGGCCCTACCAAACCATGTTCTAAGAACCTTTTGTGGTTTCCACGAAATGTTCTTAGAGCCTTTCTGGCTGATATTGTCTTGTTTAAGCACATCGGGCTTATGCTCTGAGAACATTGTTTTTGTTCTTAGAACATTGTTGGGTTCTAAGAACATTTCGTGGTAGGACTATAGGAATGCCGGGACGGTCGGTCCCTGCTCAAGTTCTTGCTGCGCCTGCCGTCGGGGGCGTGGAAGAGGGGCGGGAGTTGGAGCCGGCTGGGGCTCTGAGGTTGCCAACCTTGGTCTCCGGCGCGCAGGAGAGAGGTTCAGTATCGTTTAATCGACCCCATCCCATCCTCATCCCCTTCGAGACCCCCACCAACCTACCACCCCAGCTGAGGATACACCCCTCGAAACCCGAAGGGAACGACCTATGTCCCCATCCAGGGGGGCAAATCGGCCAGGGCGCTGGGGATGGGGATCGGTGAAACGATACGCAGACGGGTCTCGATGCTCCGGGCTCGAGCAGTTTCGGGTTGCCTTTCGGAGCCTCCCAGGGGCAGTTCTCGGGGCCCCCGCACCGTCGGCAGCGGATCCAGATCGAGGAGTTCGCACCGGAGGGGTCCGGGGACCGATTTTGCGCGGAGTTGCTCCTCGTCCTCCCTTCCCTTACCGAGTTTTTTCGGGGCCTATCCATTTCAGACCAGGGCTGAACCTAAACTTTCGTTTTCGTCTTGTTCTCGTTGTCCCTCGTTCTATCTTCAACCCGCCTGTGCCGCAGAACGAAGTCGGAACGACAACGACCCACGGAATCGCAGAAACACCGTTTGGGTCGAGCCCTGGTTCAGACCCCCCGGCCGCCTCCAAGTGGGGGACCATGGTCGTGGTGGTGGTGGTGGTAGTGGTTATGTCCACTGCCGTTTCCGTTCGAGCGGAGAGCCGAGCCCATGTAAAATTTGGTGTTCTTTGACAAGGGGAGCCCGCTTTCCACACCGTTTGGAAACAGGAGCCGCCCACTCTCTTCGAGGGGATTTAGGGGCGTTTTCGTCGTTAATGGCAGGAAGAGTTCGCTGGCTCTTGGACGTCCTCCTGGCTCGGGATGCTCTCTGGCAGTTGCGCCTCGTCAAGAGGTTCCCAGATGTGCCCGAGGAATCGCCCCGAACGGCCGCCACAGGCTCCGGCCATGGCCCGCAAGCCACCAGGCGTCGAGGAGGGGCTGAGGACTGGGGGAGGTAGGGATGCCATGCCCGCGAGGTGATGGAGTCTCCCCGATGTCGTGCACTCCTCTTCTGCTGCCATCACGTCCCCGCGGCTCCCCCCCGTCCATGCGCATGCCTCGAGCCTGGGTGCGCCAACTTCCTCCTCTCTGGCCCCCCTTTTCGGCACACCCGATGCCGCGGCCCGCGGCTGCGATCCCGAGAGAGAAAGAGAGAGAGGGAGAGAGGAACACGAGAGGAAGCTGATCTGGTTTTCCCGCCCGCGAGCGATGGGCTGACGGTGCGGGATATAGTCATCGAAAGAGAGCAAGCTCACACACAGGCCCATCGGTTGTCGAGAGTCTGGATTTTCAGGGGCCCCGAGTTTCCAATCCACTCCAGGCGCCTTCTACTGCAAGCATAGTGGCTTTCCCGTTTCCTTCCTCTCAGGGGGCGGGCGGACATCCAATTTCCTTCGCTCCATGGTTCTACCCCTTTTTCCCGACCGATGGGTAAGTGCTCGAGGGTCCGAGCATTCATATCTGTGTGATAATTGTGCCGACCTCCTCTTCGTTCCACGTGAGGAAAAGGCGCTGCACGATCATACACGTCTTGGTCAGGAGGGGCCCTGGTTTCAGGAGGAGGAGGAGGAGGAGGAGGAGGAGAAGGAGGAGTAGGAGGAGGAGGAGGAGGAGAAGGAGGAGGAGGGGGATGAGAGGGAGGAGGGGGACGTGTTCGTGGTTGAGGCCTGAGGCTCGCCGCGGCTGGGCAAAAGCCCCCTGCGGTCCTTCTGCTCGGCGCTCGGCGCTCCTGCTGCAAGCGCGAGGGCCGTAGGGCGGGGCGCTGGCT